GCGTAAACTGTGCATGACTGTGGCACCCATCCCGGTTACTTCGTGGTAGGAGTCAGGAAGAGATCACCCCTACGAAGATGATCCTACAATTGCAAGCCACCTTGCTGCAATCTACGATCACTAACCACTAATTCCGCGCCGCTCATGCTGATAGGCTTTGGCAATCTTGTCGTAGGGTCTTCGTAAGCAGACGGCCCAATGCGGCAAATGCACGCGATGTTCTCATTCATCACTCCGATCCTACAGGGCGTGCATTTTCCTCTTTGAGTTAGGCGCCGGAGGCCATTCAGCCCGACTCAAACCAGCCGCCCGCACCGGGACCCTACAATGTCCGGCATCACTGTCGGCGGCCATCGTGTCTGAAGATGGAGTAGATGACGATGTGAAGCTTGGCAAAGCTACAAAAGCACCGGTTTCGCTTGCTAAAAGACTGTAGTTCTTCATCTTCATCGACGTGTATATTCACCTCCCAGCGCAACACTTTCTGCATATTTTTGCAATCCTCGGCTCCACTGAGGTTTACCTATCACCGAGTCTCCGCCGTTCTGATTATCTCAACCATGTCACACCTGAAGTACTACTCGTATGCCGACCATGGTGTTCGTCTCCGCGAACAAGTAAACTACAGCCAAGCCGTGCGTATCAATGATCGCATCGAATGCTCCGGACAGTGTAAGTGCGCTACGGTCATCACTACCCTAAACATGACTGATCGGTCCAGGCGGCTGGGATCATATCACTGGCGAAGTGCCGGACGAATTTACTTCCCAACTCGAGAATGCGTTCAAAAACGTCGATGTCAACTTACGTGACGCGGGTGGTCAAGGGTGGTCTCAGGTGTTTAAGGTGCGACTCTATCTTCTCGAGCTCAATCCCGAGTCGATTGCAGCCTATGTCGATCTCACACGGAAATGGATGCCCAACCATTCCCCCATTCTCACGGGAATTGTAGTCGCTGGACTTTCAAGCCCCAACCTTAAAGTTGAGATTGAAGTCGAAGCACATGACCCGGAAGGTGCAAAGACCGCTCTGGCCTAACACAAGGTGTTGATGGTGGTGAAGTGTCAGAGCGATGTTAGAGCAGAGTGATGAGGTCTTCCACACGTGGCCCGCAGCAGATAGAAGATAGGTCGGGGGTCGTAATACATCTGTATTCTGGCCCTCCGCAGCTTGGAGGGCCATCCGTAGCCTATATATACGTTTCTCGTAGCCCTTAGCCTCTGACCGACCCCCTGCTTGACGGCTCCGCAGGGAATCCGCAGGGTCTCCTGACATGAAGGTAGTTTTCAATTTATGAATGCTTCCCATATCACGAAGTTCGCTCTCGCCGTCATCCAATTGTAGTTGAAGTGTCGTGGAACATATTGATTGCCTTGAACAAGTCGGGTCACGCTTCTGTCTCGCGTAGCTGAAGCCCTCAGAATATTGAAAAACTGTACATCATGTGCTTTGAACATATAGTCTGGAAGTTTTTGAGAAGAACCTTACGTCTACGTCTTTATTACCCAATAGCTATGAGGACCAGGGGCCCGATTTTCGTTAGATAATGGTTGATTATTGAATGTATACACAGTATCCAATACTCGATATGTTCAGAACCAAAGTTTCCCATCTTAGATTCAAACCATGAATGCTACGAATGTTCCGGCGAGAGCGATCAGACTGATGAAGTTGGACGCGGCGCCACCGGGAATATCAGTGGGAACAGTGGTAGGCTGGCCCGTTGCGCCGCTGGTGGGAATAGATGAGGTCATAGTAGCGTTGCTGCCACCGTGAGCGGGCTCGGGGGCGACAGCGCCCTTGTATAGGTCGCACTGGGCATCCTTGGCTTCGGGACAATCCTCAGCGATGCAGATCGACTGTAGCTGCTTGCCTTGGCCTGGGATGACCTCAGCAGCGGGCAGGCACTTGAAGTTGAAAAGGTCGGTCAGGGCCTTGCCAACAGCAGTGATGTCGTCCTTAGCGACACCGAATGATTCGGCGGCGAGGGCAACTTGCTGAATAAAGTAGCCCATCTCAGAAGGGTCGAGATCCATGAACTTGTGCACCTCGTACATTGAGACATCACCTCCATAGGCGGGGAAGCCGGGCATTGAGTACTTGGAGCAGCCGAGTAGTGAGCCAAAGAACTGATAGAGATGCGTGAGGAGGAAGCTGGAACATCCACTTGTCAGACATGGCGGATCTGTAGAAGCCGGGTGAGGGCTTGACTTACTGTTGCCTAGACTTCTCCGAGTTGGCAGGCTTGTTCTCCATCAACGGAGCGGCACCACCACCGTCGAGAAAGTTTACAGACTCGCCCTTATCACCACCACGGTTTGTAGAGGCAAGATCGCCATTGAAGTAAGGCAAGAGGTTCACAGAGCTACCCATGAAGTCTCCCTTGGCCAAGATTCCAGGGACTGCGACGCCAGTGTTTGGCTCGGTGTCTATACATATCAGCTATCCGAATTCCGTAAATGAAGGCGCAAAGAAGCCTCACAGTTTCCAATAACCACAGTGTTAACGAGAAGCGTCAGCAGAGTGTACTGGTTCTCTGCCGTGTTTTCCTTGAGCAGAGCTGTTGTGTAGTAATCGCAGATGGGGGTGTCTGTGGGTCGCTGAGCAGCAACGCTGCTAGCAGCTACCATGGCGAGCGCGATTGTCTTGCTGTGCATTTTGAACGGCTTGATAAAAGGATATTGAGGTAAGCAGAGGAGAAAAAGTATGGCGGAGAGCAAGAATTGGCTTTTGAGATGAAGGCGAGCAACGTGTTGCTTATGAGTCCAGCTCAACGCCGGCCAGGCTCCCAGACTGATTTGCGATCATGTTAGCTCGCCCAAGACAGAGCAAGATTTTGGAGACACCCAAGTCTCGAAGCGGACTTGTACGACCACATGCCTAATTCCAACCTGCATTAGCTTGGGTTTGGTGTTCAGTCTACTGTTGCTTGCCAGTCCGGGCCAGGGGTCCAGGTACTAGCGCCGGATACGAGTGATCCGTGGAGGCGGCACTGGACGGCACAACAGCGGTATTTGATTCACCTCGTCTACCATTGGCTGCATCCCCTCCCTAGGCACGGATTGGGAATGTGCCGGACGGCGACCTACCATGATCGCAATCTGGGGAAGCGTCATTGACACCCAGCTCATATGCCCATGGCGTAGCGGACAAGCGGCCAGGTGAGACATTGAGTTCATAACGGAGTCATGGGGGGAATGTCCCTCCAACTGGGTCAAAGAAAGAGACCTTCGGCTTGACGTGATTCCGGCGCTTGCCATGTTGGTGCCGACTCTTCCTTGGAAAGTGAGAGAGATTCCCCTTTTTAGAGAAGGCCAAAAGGGCGCCCGGAGAAATGCACGGGCTGCGCAGAGTCTAATCATTCGCTTGATATTGTCGGGATTGACATGAACCGGCTCAGCTCGATACCGTTTCTATCCTGCACCATCCTGTGAGGCAGACGGGGTACGTCTCTCTGGATGTCAGAGATGAAGATCAAGAAAGGGAAGAGTCGATCAGGTCGGACGGCATCTATCTGCGGGCTTCGTACAGATCAGTCTCATGGTCGCTTGCGACTTCGCGTATGAAAGCGGACCACGGAATTCCCAACTCTGTTTGGGCTGAATAGTGCCTATCTATCAAGGCAAGCGAAAAGCTAAGACAGCGCGTAGGTATTAGGATAGATATTGACGGCTTAAAGAACTTTCGCCGCCAGAGTAGCAAGTTGGTGGTGGTGGGGATAATGGGAGACTTGTTGCGGAGAATAATCGTTCAAGAAAAGCACAGTACTGCATGCAAACAGGGACTTCCGAGGAAATATTTGCTCTACAGTGATGTACAACACAGCTCTATTATTCTACCACAATTTCTGATACCAAAACATGCACATACGTACAGGGGAAGAAAACACCTGCACTGCTATTTCCTGCGCAAGAAGTAATGCTGAGACCTAAATTGGCTCCACGCCTGCCAATTACGAGAATCACAATCATGTTAAGGTTGGGGGCCTGACCACCAATCCGAGATCCGTTATCGTCGGAATCGCGAAGCAACGGCTGCAAGTATCCATGGACCTACGCTATTGTGGCAGTGCGTGGGGAGGAGAGTGAAGAGGCCTTCCGCAGGTGACTTCCAGTCAACCCTTGCGTATGAGTACGAGGGCATATGGGTTATGGCCCTCCGCAGCCCTTATATACGCTCCCCTGTAGGTCCCAGCCCCTATCCGGCCCCCTGTCTCTTGGCTCCGCAGGTTCCTCCTTGCATGTTGTTTCTGATGATCTGGAGAAGCTGCGCGTACGTGTTGAGACTGCTGGTTGCCTGTGTACCCATGGTAGCATTGGGGCATTGCAAAACACGCAGGTAAGACCCCAATGTACCCTAGGTACTTTGGCTAGTGAGATGAGTATGCTTCCCTTGAGTGCAGACTCCGACCAATGCAGATGCTAGATTTGCGGTCAGGACTCGTACTGTCCCGTAAAGAACTTTCCCCAACGGATTGTAAGACACAACAGAGGCTGGAAACACCTCAACAGATTCAGGGAATCGCATGCAAAAGGGGTAACTAAAGCCATCTGAAATCCAATAACTTCAAAGTTCCTGACTTTGAATTCACACCATTATCTAAATATTTCTAGTCCCTGTCGAATCAGACTAGACAGCTGGACAGGATATGATAGCGTTTTTTAGTTGCTAGGGGTAGTGTGCTATTCTACTCGATATCTGCGAATGCTTTGAACGATTCCTGTGTAGAAACCAGCTTTGATGCGTAGATAGGATCATATTCTGAAGCGACATTGGATTATTGTGATAGGTCTTTTTTTATTGTTTAACATTCGACTACTACGTAGACAAAACACTCTGCTTAATCTTGGTTTGGCAATTCGCGAGCACTTCGAGTGTTATGTGATCACGTGGAGCTTTCAATGTGCAAACATCAAGATACCCAAAAACGCCGGCTTCCACCCAGCCAGAAAGTGGTCTAATGGTCGTACGTCTCAATCACTCGTGGTCTTTAGCGGCATGGTCCACTAACCCCTATCCAGTAATGGTTATGACTGCGGATTCTGATTCCGCCAGCCCAGGTTCGATTCCTGGTTGGACCTTGCGAACTATATTTTTTTGACATTTTACTGAATTTTGTGGGTGCGCGGGGGTTTCCGATCGCGAAGCCACGCTGGTGAATCGGTCTCATGGGATGCACTCATTTTTATACCCAGAGACGGTCGTTATAGACAAAGCTCGATCGAGATCGATTTAATCGGAAGATCTTGTTCGAAGAGGATCATCAAGGCCCGCCAATCGAAATGAGGGATCAGGCGTCCCTCAATGTTAATGATCTGATACTTACACTCTCACACTACTCGTCATTGGCGCAACTGTTGCAACAAAGTGTGTAGGGCTAATCTGTTGGTCACATAACCAGCATGCAGGTGGGCGACCCAACTGCACATTTATGTCATCCGCGTTAACAAGACAACGAATCAGGCGCCGCAAGTGACGAGAAATATATAGACCCGCATCGCTGTACTTGGAATAGGCCAGCTGGTCTCTAACCGGAGTAAGATGTCGCGAGTACTGGATCCTCTCCCGCCTTGGCAGTATTTAGCGCTGGCTTCATTGGATGTTTCAGGGTGCTGGTGCATTTGGGCATGCAGGTCAACGAACGACGAAGATCGTACGCTAGCAAATCGGCGTACGAAGGGCATGGTGACCCCTGATGGCTGCGCCGATTCCACTGTCGAACCGGGGGTCTCAGTAGGATCTAGCGTCGTGGTTGACTGCTTGCAGCTGCTGCAGCCAGTTCAGATTTGAGTAGAATATCCATTGAGCACTCCATCGGGCATAGCCAGGGGCACGAATGACCCCCAACCTTCGCTCAAAATGAGACTCTTGGTGAACAGTCCATTTAACCAAGCCGGCATACCCCTCAGTTCATGCGGGGGTTGTTCTCGCCAACCTGCTTGACTTCATTTCGGCCTTCATCATCTACTCGAGTCACCTCGATACAAGCCACAGCAGCCCAAGAAATGGCCGACACTCCGACCTCACAGGCTGCGGAAATAGCAGCGCCAGCATCAACACAAGCGGAGCAAGTGCACGGGGTGGTGATTGTGAGACCAACCCGGGCGGAACAGCTTCCAAGGACGAAGTGCTGATCAAGACGAAAGGTGCCCGATGTGCGACATGGACCTAACGATAATGCCGATGCCGACTCGGCATACGAAGTGGTACGTGTGGATGGATGATCATGGGTATACGGATCCGTACTGTGTCTGAAATCCGTGTGCGACCTGTTAGTATCTTCGTAGATTCGCTGACTGCCTTTCGATAGCCTCCTGAGTCGACCGCCTCCTTGCGATCGAGCATCCTCGAATTCCAAACGGAAAATGGAAGAACATACCATTCACTGAGCGCAGGAAGTAGGTGTAATCTCAACCATGACATCCATCAGCTGATTGAAATTTCCAATAGAATACGTGCTACCAAATGACGAGGCAAGTCGCGTTCCCATATTGATAAGAAGTGGTATCGCTCTTGACCCATGATCCACGAATTCACGCTGTCGGTGGGTACGAGAGGCCACTGTCCCGACTCCCCAAGCCGTGGATCTCACCTGTCCAACTCGCCTCTTCGCATTCATCCCCTAATGATGGTGGTGCTAGGTTAACCCTCTTTTAGCAAGAAAGCGAACGTCTTGATATAGTCCACAACCTCAACTTCCTTACTTACGACTATCGTCTCGCGTTGTGTCCCAAAAACAATGGCGCAAAGCGTGTACTCGACATGGGTACTGGCACAGGCGTCTGGGCTGTCGACTACGCTGATGCGCACCCCGAGGCCGAAGTCATTGGGGTGGACCTGAGTCCTATTCAACCCAACTTCGTACCACCCAATGTTCGATTCGAGATTGACGATCTAGAAAAGGAGTGGACGTGGGCTCACAAGTTTGATTTCATTTTCTGCCGCTCGCTGTCTGGCAGTTTTCCCGACTGGGAGCCCGTTCTTCAGAAGGTTTACGAGTAGGTGTGATGCCCAGCAGAGCTACCCCAGCAGAGCTACCAGTCTGTACTGAATAAACCTCCCCGCAGTCAACTTGAACCCGGTGGTTACTTCGAGATTCAAGACGGAGCGTTCCCCGTTGGGACTGACGACAACACGATACCTAGAGACTCGTCACTCCTTCGCTGGTGCAACCTCCTCGTTGAAGCCAGTGGGAATTTGGGGCGACCCGTTGACCAGGTCTATAATTACAGCACCATCATGCGAAAGATAGGCTTTGTTGATTGCGTCGACCGCAACTTCAAGTGGCCCACCAATACTTGGCCAAAGAACAAGCGCTTCAAGGAAATGGGCATGTGGTCATTGGCTGCCCTTGACGCCGGTCTGGAAGGCTTGTCTATGGCGCTACTGACAAGAGGCCTGAACTGGACTATGGAGGAAACCTTAGCTTTCTGTGTCAATGTACGCAGGGAGATGCGCGATCCCAGAATACATGCCTACTGGCCCGTGTAAGTCTCGATTGTTGCAGATATTCAGATTACTGACTGACTTCGGACAACGCCAGCCACGTGGCATATGGGCGGAAACCAGAAAATGTCCCAGCGGCGGCAACAGCGGAGGACACATCGACCTGATTGACACGGTGACAACTGCCCTCCACCTCTGCCTTCATGGGGTGAACCAATAGTATGCACCAATACAACCACCAATTTTACTATATTCGAATGTTCGAGTATCACTGGACGCAAAGGCCTAGCCAGATGTCGCACTTCTTTGAACAAATTTTCTTTGTCCGAGTTACTGCGCATCGGTACGGCTTGAGAAGAACTTGAGAGAGAATACCAAATACGGTTCTTTCAGTGGCGTCACGCTTTGTTTGATCAATTGACGCCGCTAGAGCCACAAGGTTGGCAAGTCCGAGAGACTGACACTGTTTTACTCGACAACAAGAATGGTTGGCTTCCATTTGCGCGACATTCCCTGCAGTTCTCTTTAGGTCACGAGAACAGGTCTCTTGCTCCGCTATCGTGATTAGACACACTCCATTGTTTTGAGAGCCAGAATGTGATGTACAGCTGTCGTACAAGTTGCTGTCCACAGCCCAACATCACAGTGTTGGGAAACAAACAAGATCTACTGACCTGGACCAATGTCCCTGAAAAGGTACACAGATATTTACCTGAAAATAGTCGCCAGGTTTCTGATCTGGAGTTATGTTCTCGGGTGTGATGTATTCTTTAAATACGGCCAGCTTTCCGGCAGGCCTCTCACAGAAAGATCCAATCCACACAAACATTCGACAACGTACCGAAAAGAAATATACCAAAACCCACACCAAACTTGGAGAGCCGACACCCAGTAGTCAACATGGTTAACAACTCGCGCAAATTCGCCTTTGAGGAGGAGCTCAGCCCTACAAGCCAGAATACGTGGCAAGCTGTAGCCCAAGGCTCTTCGGGACCCAATTATGAACCTGAGCCTGGAAGTCCAGCGGACCTAGCATCAACTCGAGTGCTTCGAACCGGCAGTCAGGTGGCTCGTTGGCGAATCGATGGAAGTCGCGAAATTCTGGTTCCATCAATACCTCGCCACAAGTTTCGGCCCCTGGATCACCCGTCAGCACACCCCTCTCCGCTCGGAGGCCAGGCCCCCTTCAAGCTGTCTACTCCGGCCTTTCTGGAAAGACGTTCAACCGCCCAAATTTTCAGCAACAACCTTCTCACTGCATGGATAAGCGCGATTCCATGCTCTTCACAGCTGTGACGAAGACTTCAATGGCCAGCAACTTCAACGACGAACAGCCTGAGACGCTAGACTTGATCAATGATGCGCTGATGAAGACTGTGGCTCGCACTACAGTGTGTCTAGCTGAGATGGAGGTCCGCGTTGGACTGCGCACCCTTCTAGCCTGCCAGGCAGTCCAAGGCCTGGCGAATCTTCGCCAAGATGTGGCGTCTGGGAAGCTTATGGGCCCCGCGCTGACCCAACGGTTGTATCGCGAACAGTCGGAAGTTCTTGACCGCTTGGAAAGCATCCGCGATGCGATGCGCAATTGCAGTGCCCATGAACCCATTTGCGAGTGCCAGCTGTCGGTCTCGGACTCCATGACAGACCAGTACACGACCATGGACTTTTTCGCTGGCCGCGACATTCATGACTACGCCGAATGTTGCCACAATATTGTACTCGAAAGTAGTGACGCAAAGAACCCGGCTACTGAGGCCAAAATCATGCAGAAGATGTATCGGGGCCTGGATGAGTTCTTCAAACGGAAGGACCAGGCTGGCTTTGGGGACTACGAGCCTGAGAAAGCACGGTGCCAAAACTACGAATCCTTTTTTGGAGCTTGGTACAGGATGATCTCGCCCGACAACAAGCCGTTTCTCAACAAGTTAGATCAAGAGATGCGTCGCCTTCAAGCTCTGGCGGATCAACAGCGAAAGAAGAAGGTCCACAAGAAGCGCCCCGAATTCATCAGACGCGTGACGGGTTTTCTGAAGGGAAAATCTGTGGATAGAAGCTCCGGATCGGGATCTTTCAGTCCCTGAGGCTAGTCACGCCATTTTCTCCAGAGGATGAGACGGTACTGATTTCTTTTAGATGGTGAAGATATGATTCTGGATGGCAAGATGACAGAGTTTTATCTTATTGCTTTGGTCTCTTATTTTACGCATAGCTTAGGTCTCGGGATTGATGTATTTGGGTTTTAGTTAGTCACATTTATAAGCGCTGCTGGCAGCTCTTCAATAAATTGTCCGTCGTTTTTGTTTCTGACTGAATCTACGCCATAGAACTTCTTCGCAACGGCAGAGTAAAACACGAATCATTCATTCCTTTCCAATCATGGGTGTCTTAGGCATACGCCTCCACAGTGACTGATTCTCATGTCCATATACAATTCGATTTTACTTCTTTCCATCTGATGTGTTACGGGTTATACCCGTGACGGAGTACAGGCCTGTGGCCTGCAAAGTACATTTATGAATGCAGCCCAGTTGAATGAACGACGTTGATTCAACAAATATCCTTTTAGCTCAATTGGATAGCTGCCGCATGGCACTTACGACCGTGTGAGGGCTGGCACTAAGCCCCTTTGCGGCCGACCGTAACATTATGCCACGTGAATCTTGGTACCAGCTAGCGACATTTTATTGTATTCGTCATGAACCAAGCCTGTCTTCGTGTATTGGACGACTTAAAGTCGGTAATATGGAATTCGCCATGGAGCTTAAAGCACAAGTCTTTGTTCTTGTACCAGGTAGGTAGGTACTTTTGAAGCTGTTTCAGTCGTCTACAAAGATCATGGAGTAACTTTCAACTTTGCCATTGTACTTTTCAATGCGCCTGTTTATTGGTATACATCTGAGCTACCAAAATATAGTTGATGGTCATCTTGCTGTCATGCGAATCTGATGCCGGCACCAAGATTTATCCCCGTTGGTGAACAATGCCCATGGCCGAGATCTTTGGTCACGATACACATCATCGGGCTTTTCGCCCCTGGAGCATACATCACTTCTGATCTATGTTTCTCAGTTGCAATGGATTCAATTTTAAATTCTCTGAAACTATTACACATTCAACGTAAGCGGCACAAGGTCGCTAGTTCACTATCAGTCGCTGTGAATTAAGTCGGCATGCCAGATTTTAATCAAGTATAGAAACCCGACAGCCTTCGTAGAGAATTGTGGGCTTCCCTAGACTCAGATCACCCTTGTGTTATTCAATTCGGTCCTGGAGACCCTCAAACAGCAAGTATTTCTACCATCATATTAGTAAGAACGTCATGTCTGGCAAGTCTCAATCGGTACAGACTGTGTCCCGGGCTCTAAGTCCGGGCGAACAAGCCGAGTTTCGTGACTTCAGTCAGATTTGTCGAACACCCTCTCCACCTGCCGATATAAAGCAACCCGAGGATCGGAGTCACCCTTACGCTTTACGCTTGGAAATTCCGCCCTTAGGGCACCCCGGTCGTAGACTTGGAGCAACCCTGCCGTTGCTCGTTGGGAACCTAGAAACCGTCGAACTCACGCCAAGTTATTTCCGGCGTGATCAGCCTTATGAGCCACCCGATATGCCTTGGCAGACAAAAGAGAGACGACGCGAACGGAACATTGCCTTGATGCAAATGTCTGGCGATCGGGGCATGGTAGATTATCTCCACCATGCTTCACGGCATCACGGTGAAGGTTTGCTGCCGGGCTATCACAACGAAGGCTGCTCGAAATGTATGGAAACCGAAGCTGGCGCCACGATTCCCCCTTTTAGGAAGGGGTTCTTTGATGATACCCCCCCAGGAAGAAGACTGTCTCCGATCAATTATGCCTGACGATGCGCCACCGGGTGTCGGGCACTCCGGCTCTGGCAGTAATTCCTTCGCATCGCTTTCTGAGCGTTTCAGTCCAGGTAATCCTAATCACCCAGGAAGACCTGCAGCTCGTTTAGATATGAAATACCCTGAAAGCAATCACTTGAGGATTGCTGCATCAATAGGCCAGAACCGACGTACAGTTACCTCTTTTAATGAGAGCACAGGTCTGTTGCTTCTCACACAGAGCCGGTCAAGAATGCAGCTTTCCGATGCATCCTCAGCCAGCGATGATCCTGAAACATCGCCACAAGGGAAGCTGGCTATCGCCCTGAACAAAACTGGAGGAGAGGTACGCCAGGAAAGCAACCTTTCAAACCCTAGCAGTACAGCTAGCATGTTATGGTTTCGCATTGAAGAAAATCTCGCGGAGTCGCACAGAAATGATAATGAAACGCCGCAGTTGTCGGACTCTAGTGGAAGGAACCCGCCTGCAAGTCTTCTCTTCGAACCATATCAAGAAGACTTGACGTCCAGCGAGTATGACATGCAGGAGAAGGGCGACGCGAGTTCAAGCCCTTATGCTCCAGCTGCTCAAATATTTCACCCAAGGGTCGATTTCAGTGGTTTCGAATCAGAAGAGAACCTGGTCTATACGGCTCATGTGGTTGGGTCTGCCACCACTACCAGGAGATCGCACGATCTTGTTAAAGAAAGGCCTGCAGATACTTCACCATGCGGCAACTCTCACAATGGCAATCATTTTATTGAGACAATCCCCACAACTTGCATCCCATCGGATATGGAGGCTGCCTTTGAAGACGTGCCGCTCGTCACGCCCCCGAACATGCAGGCTCCTGAAAGCGTTAGGCATGCTCACAGTCGACCAACCCTGCGAGTAGGCACTCCTGAACAGTTTGTTGAAAGGTCATCACGAGTGAGGCTTCAAAAAATAGTCTTAAGCCTTTGTCCAGGACTCGGTCGGGCAAGGCAAAACCTACAACGCAGTAGGCATAACGAAAATCGTGATCAACCTTACATGGAGTTATCCTCATGGAATGGCAATGATAATGACCGTGTCGATGATGAGGTCGATTTCAGACGTTGGCCGACTAATCTCCCTGGCTATGACTTGGAAAGCGGCCGCGTGCGAAGGCGAAGAACTCTGCGATGGCTCACGTCGGACTACCTTGCCTGTGTCAATCTCGCGATCCTCTTGGTTCATGCGGTGCTCCTGTCCTTGCTCCTGAGCCGTGAGTCCGTGTAGCATATGCAAGACAAAGCTAGGTCCTTTCTGAAGTGCAGTGAGATGGATCCATACGGCGCTTCGGACATAACTTTCGTGCCATGTATTTCATTTGTGAGACGAAAAGGGCAAGTTCTTCCAGGTACCATGATGCAACGAATAGATAAATAGAATCATAAATGCATCTGATTAAGGTTGAGATTCACAGATTCGAGTGGTTCAAGGATAAGGTAGTCTGGCTGCTAATCGGGATCTCGAGCATTTCCTGTCAGGTGGAGATGTCGGTTGCATACTCCGACGTTGTTCCGATGCGGGGTCCTCAATACGTGCGAAGGTCATGCTTCGCCCAAGTCATCTTTGATCACATCACCGTATAGAGCTTCATTCTCATCTGTATTATTCCCTTTGAAGCTAACATTTCATTGTTCAACCGCCATGTCGCAACCCAGCCTCTCCGCAGCGGAGCGTCTTGCCGCGCTCAAACCCGCTCCCCCACCAGTGCCGGCCTACCTCCCAAAAGCCGGGTCGCCTTTGGTAGTCGACAAGGACCTCTACAACACCATTGCATCCGCCCCTCGGGTTCTCACAGAAGAATTTACCCTTCCTATCCGCTCCGGCCAGGCCTGGACCGCCAAGGCTGGCTCCATTGTCCGCATCAGCACGCCCGAAGGACCTCAGGTCGGCAAGTCACCCATCCCATTGACGTGCACATCCAGCTCTTCCTCGCGACCTTGGGCTAACCCTCGTCAGCGGACCTGAACATTTGGCATGCTGGAAACCCGCGAGAGCGCTTCTGGGCCTCCCGCACCCGTCAGCTTCACTCCACTCACCTTACAACCTACGATCGTCTGTGGTCCACGCTGCCCTACATGCGTCCACTGCTGACCATCATCTCCGACTCGCTCGCCTGGCACGGCAGAGATGCCCACGGCGGTCGAGTGCATGATCTCCTCGGCACCCGATGTGACCCGTATATCAATTCAGTCCTCACCGGCGGTACCGACTCTTACGACTTCCACTGCCACTCCAACCTTGTCCGGGCTGTGGCACCCCACGGTCTGCAAGAGCGGGACGTCCATGATGTGATTAACCTATTCCAGGTAACAGGGCTCGACGAACAAGGGCGGTACTTCATGAACCCCTGCCCGGCGGAGAAGGGCGACTCAATCGAATTCTTGGCCGAGGTTGACGTGCTCATGGCCATGAGCACCTGTCCCGGCGGTGATCTATCGCTGTGGGGATTCGGCGCCGACAGCGAGAAGGAGATGATCAAGTGCTGTAGGCCACTCAAGGTCGAGGTGTTCAAACTGGAAGATGAGGGCCTGCTTGATAGACAGGGGTGGAAGCCAGCCGAGGTATCCCCTTACAAGGGCAACCACGGCATGACAGTTCCGCAGGGGGAGGGCCTCGGACCCGTGTCTCGATAGCTTTCCTCGATAAATTAACGTATCGCATTGTTGAACAAGAAATCACGCCCACAGTATACGACCCGGGTTCTTGAAATTAAGTGGCACGTCTCCGGTGCAGCCATGCACAAGCCTCTCTCACTCGAGGTCCTTCATCATCCAAAATCCCCCCCACTTCTCCCCGCCCGGCTGCAGCCGGAACCCGACTTTCTCGTAGAACGCAACGACCTTGCCGTTGTCACCAGCGATCCCAATGTGGATGCCCTGCTCGTAGCCTTTCTGCTCCCTGAGGCTCTCCACGAATGCCTCGACCAGCTTCCTCCCCCACCCCTTGGCCTGCCACTCCTCCAGCAGGTCAATGTGCATTGTGGCCCGGTGCGTTCCCCACAAGATCTCCCTGTCCTGAAGAACAGCCATGTCAAAATCATGCGCGAGCTGCAGCAGGGCCTGCTCGTTCACCTCCCCGTTGATGGCCCACGGCTCCCTGAAGTCCCTGGACCGCGGTGTCTCGACCTCTGTCGAAGGCTCAAGCACCTCCTTGACGTAACGTCCATACTCGGCCCCGAAGGCCTTCACGTCAGGACAACCAATGCAGTAGCCGACTGCCCGCCCATTGCCATTGTCAAGGACGTAACACGTCAAGGGTGACAGCAGCGTATAAGGGTGGGTCCAGATGTAGGGGGCCAGGCGCAAAGCGTGGGGGAACGGGCTCAATGACGGGGGGAGCGTGGCACGACACTGTTGTCATTCAGTACATGATATTTACAAAGTGAGAGGAGAATTCGCACGATGTCGGCCGCGGCATCAAAGTCCTCTGGCTGGTAAAGACGGATGAAAGCCATTGGAATGGAGCAGGGTTGTAAGAATGGGTGGAGTATATCTGGGCGAAGTGTACTGTCGAGTGGCAGCGCTGTTGAAATTCAGGTTGAGATGGTAGGGCGGTGTGTCTGGCAACGATGGGAGAAATGATTCAGAATGACACGATTGATGTCTTTTACGAATCGATCGCAGGTGAAGTAGGCAGGTAAAATATGATGCAGGGCCAGGTAGCCGGCCGGCCAGGAGCGGGGAAGGCAACAGCGTGGGAGAACTGAAGCCCCGTCTGACGCACTCGGCATTACGGGCCGAGAGCCAAGGTCTCACCAACACACGGAGGTCAGGAATATTCAGCTTGTTAATTGATTTCAATACGTTCTAGTTGTGGTATATTTTCCTCTCCAACCAGGCACAAGCGTTCATGTCCCTCTCTGAATCGCCGCAATAGATGAGACTTCCTGGTATATCCGAATAGCAAAGTCGCACGAACACCCCGATCCCAAAATGAAACCTCCTTTGGCGAGTCAGACTCCAGGTCATCCACCATCATAGTGCTTTTGGTGTTGTGGAACAATAATGAAAAGATAAAGAGGTTCGTCGACCAAATGAATAAGAGAAGAAAAGAAGATTGAAGTCAAACTTCAAACCGGACAAGGCGCGAAGGGATGAATATGGTGTACAGCCCGATGAGTGCAGGCTGAAGAAGTGTAATCGGGCTCATATAGTCATGACCGCTACCCACGACCCGCCGGTGCGTGTGTCGCATCGAAAGAAACTCGCAAGATAACATAATAACAAGACAGGGTGAACGTGTAATTAGATCATGCCACCAGGCATGGGAGAGCGACTCGGCATGGGTGGCGCGTTGTAATGCGTTTGGCGTGCCCGTACGTTCATACCGTTGGCTTCGCTCGTTGCTTTGCGGAGCCTTCGGCGGTCACGGGCACCGCCCTCGTCCTCGTCGCTGACGGAGAAGGCACTGTTGCCATCGTTTTGGAGATGAATGGCGTGAGGCGCAAACGGCATCTGAGGGCTGTCACCAGCCATCTCATCTTCTGCCTTACGCCCACCACGGAACCCGAGCATGTTGCGTCGCTTGGGGTTGATAGGGGGCAGGGGTGGCGCATGTGTTGGGTTATTTGCGAGCGCGTGAAGATTCGGCGTCGATGCTGTCGCGAGCAGACTGCCCGACCGAGATCTCGTGCCACTGCGAGAGCCGCTGCGAGATCTGGCCTCCTCTGGGAGATTGACAGTAGGCACGCGTGACGTGCTGGAAACGAAGGTCGGCTCCGAAATATCCCGCTTCCTCACCGCTCTCTTGGTCGATTCATCCAGCTTGTAGAAGCCGCCCTCGAGGTTGGGCGTAGGAGGTGCCGATGGTCGTCGCGAAAGTTGAATCGGGGGAGCTTGGGCGCTCGAGCTCACGAGAGGCGACGGCATGGGCGCCATGGGCGAGACCGGCGATGCCTGGCTCGAGTCGTAGCCGCCACGATGCTGGGGCTGGACACGTAGGTTGCCTGAGACAGATCGATCAAAGTGCCCAGGAGGAGGCCCAGGAAGTGGACCTGACGGCGGTGCAGAGGGCGGATGTCCACGTGGGGGCATGATGGGGGAGTGTCGGATGTCAGTACCTGGGAGACCTGGCGACCGGAGCATGGCACGGGGCGAGCCACCGTTGGTACCAGGAGCCAGGCCTTCATGGGGGGCTGAAGTATTTCTGAGCCTGGCCGGGCGGCTTTGAGACCGGCTACCGTTGCTGTTTTCAGACCCGCTCCGATCTCGTTCGGTCCTTGACGACGGGCGCGAAGATTGAGGCGTTCCACCACCATACGACGATTCCTGACTGGGACGGGGCTGGTAAGCAACAGGAGGTGGCCTGCGCTCACGGGATGGGGATCGATGTCCTCGCGGTCGCTCACGATTTGTGACTGGACGTGGGGCTGGCGCTGAGGGTGGCATGTGTGGCGGCCCGGAAGGTGACTGATGTCGCTGCTGTGTTTCAGTCTCTTTCAGCTTCTGAAGTTCTCTTCGCGCCTGCCTGAACGCACGGAGCCCTGCGTGCATTCCTTCTTCCTTGTCTTCTTCCACTTCTTGAACTTCCTTACTGGCTGACTGTGGCGTTGAGACCGCTGTTTCGTCAATAGACTGCTGCTGCTCCTGCTTCGAGGGGGAGGACCTTTCCGGCTCCTCCTCCATGGGAGAAAGGGCGTCCTTGCTTTCGAAGTCGAAACTCCGCTTGCTTGGACTCGGCGAGCTACTCATGGTGGATGCGCCAATACCGAGCATCTTGTTGACCTTGGGTGGTGGCGGGGCTTGTTCGCGCTCTCGGCTGCGGTCGACGAGGGAGCCACGGCTCGACTTTGAAATAAGAAGGTGGAGCGGGTTCGACCGCGATGGCAACGGCTCACGTTCCGAAGGTTGCGGTGACACAGAGCGACTGTCCGATTCAACATAAGATGTCAATCTTTCACGAACACGTCTTGCACCATCTGCTAAATGACGAGCAAAGTCGTCTTCCTTCTCTTCAGCGTGCCCGCTTTCTGAGCGTAACCTAGCATCGGATGGCGCAGGCATAACCTCTTCCTTCCGTTCTTGCTTGGGGCGCTCCTCGATCGTGTTGATCCTGCTGTTGAGTTTTGATTGGCTGCTGTCAAAGTACGAAGACTGCCAATCGGGAGATTGTGAGTCCCATGGATTGGAGGAGATACTCAGGTCGGACATGCCATTGGGATCGTACTGTCCATACATGCTTTTCGGGGCATTGAGAGAGCTTGAAATAGGACCTCCGTAAATGGATGAGGCATCACTGTCTGACCGCAGGTGCTGGCGCACTATTCCGCTCAGGCCCGTCGTTGGGCCCAATGTGGGAGAATCGTCGGGTGAGCTTTGATGAGAGTGAGAAGCAGAGAGGCTAGGACGTTCGGATACCGGTGAGGGTCCACCTGACATCGAAGCGAGTGATAGAGGTGTGGGAAGCGCAGATTCTCGAAGCGCAGGATGATCCTGATCGGACGGGCGCTGCCGAGTACCTCGAGATGATGTAGAAGACTGCGATGGACGAGGACGTAGAGGTTGGTCATCTTCGGTATCGAGGAAAGTACCATTAAACGCAGCCTCCTCTTGCACAGTTGGCTCTGTTTGCAAAGCAGGTTCCGTCTTCTCGAACGGCGCTCGTTGAGCAGAAGAGGATGAACGTGATCTCGACCGACTTCCATTAGTCCGAGAGGCAGAGGAACCAGTACGGAATCTCTCCGTCGGGGTCTCACGTCCTTGTTGAAGCTGGATTTGCTTCTGCGCGTACTTCGTCTCGTCGTACTGCTGAGCAGGCTTGTTGAATACACCCATGGAAGTGGCCTTGCCTAGGTCGTTCGGCTGAATGGTGAGTGGACTGCGTTCCTCGGACTCACTGATCGGAGGGCTCAAGGGAGCCGCAACATTAGTGCCAAAGGCTGTCTTCGATTCGGGAATGCTGGGAACGCGGGTCCCGAAATCCAGTGTGCCCATTGACGACGCAGTCATCGGTGGGCTCATCGAACGCAGGTTAGGTGCACTGGCCTTAGCCAAAAGCTTACGGTCGCCAAAACGATCCGTGAATAGTCCAGTCGTAGGCGAAGGGGCGTTTGGCATGTCGGGTGTGCGAGAACCCAAGTTCCTTTGGCGGGAGAGAGTGTCCATTCTCGATAGAGCGGAGTTTTGTTGTTCATGAAGATCGTTCAGCAACCCTGTCTCGTAAAGACGCCGTGTCCTCGTTACGCTTCGCTCTAATGCAGGTGTGGCAGATGATGAGTGGCTGGACGCCCCCGCAGACTGCCAGTCTTTGGACATGGCATTGGGCTGGGAAGTGACGGATGTGGCGGCCGTCGAGTTACGGCCGACTGAAGGAGCGGAGGACATGCTGGAGTTGGTCTCGCGTTTGCGGTGGACATCTGCCGCAGGCGGAGACTCGGCTCGAGGGATATCAATGCTGAGGTTGACTTGGTCCTGGCGCTCTTCTGTTGACGGCTGCCTGTCCTTCTCGCTTTGCCTCCAGCGCTGGAAGGATGACATGGCCACATCGTCACCGTAAAGTGCTCGCCCCGACATACCGCCATCAAGATTTTTTGTAGACGCCCCACCACTGGGGAGCTTGTAGATCTTTTGACGTCCGCCAAATAGGTTGTTGCCGTCAACAGGTTTAGCCCGATCCATGATGCTGCCAGATGTCGAGCCTTCAGATGAGTGGAAAGAGTCCATGCGAGCAAACGGTGCCTTGCCCCTGATGGACTCCACCTCTGCAATATCACCCAAGCCCGGGCCGAAACCAAAGTCCAGCATTCTGGATTGCCGTTTGGGAAACAACACGCTATCGTCACTGGCCTTTCCAATCTTGGAGGTTGGATCATCTTGCTCCTTTAACATAGAAAAACGTGCTGACAAGCCTGTCATCAGCAGACTCGTTCGGAAGTCATCACTCGAAGGGAGTGCCGTAGCGAGGTCGATCTCTTTCCTAGGTTCCTCCTCTGTTGTCTTCTTATTCTTGCCGAAAAGTCTGAAGGGCGCAGGCGAGTCTGAGTCGTTTGAGACGCGAGGCGGTGCCTCTTCCTTCGTCTTCTTCTTCGTGCGGAACCGATTCATGGTGTTGTCGGTGCTTTAGATTCAAATGGTGTTGTGCATGGACGTCGTGACCACCTCGATGATGGGGTCAAAAGTCGTAGAGGAGAAAATGTGGTGAGCGTTGTTTTCAAAAGGGTTCCATACAGAAAGTGAGAATGGACGGCTGGATGTCACAGCAGATTTGTGGCGACCAGCGGGTGATTCGACGGAGGCCGTCTCGAACAATGGAGCTGAACCAGAGAGTCAGTAAATGGTTTGTGGCGAGGATCCCATGTCAAGAAGACTCGCAGAGAGTGCAATGCTGCGGAGTGAGCACAGGTAGCAGCAGTTGCTGGTTGCGCTGTCCGATCGACGACAAGCCATGGCACAAGGGGCAATAGAGGGATTGGCCTTCCTTAAGACCGCTGCGCCAGATTGCGGAGATAATCGCTGGGAACGTACCTGGCTGCGAAAGGCTGATGACTGGCCCGTGTGAGGAGCGTTTCAGCACGAAGAGATCAGTCGATTGTCAATGTTTCGACCGTTGTACTGATTGTCCAAGCTTCCCTTCGTCTAATCGCTGGAGGGTGCACGAGCATGGGTGACGAGAAGACTACTGCTGCTTGCCGAAACCAAGATGGATGCGCGTGAGAAAGAACTCGTGGTCGACTCCTGTGAACGAGGGCTCGGTTTGTGGTGCGGTACAGGAAACTCGATTGTTGCCGTCTGGTCAGCTGGTAGCAGTACGCTGTAATTGGGAAGCAAGTGCAAAGACGACTGGAAATGGGCGTGGGTCGCTGTAAGTAGCGAGAAGGCGAGAGCGACGTATGACAAGGTCGAGGAGTGGGCTTCTCGTATCAACGAAGGGGCTGCGGACAGTCGAAGGCAGATGTCGTCGTGGTTATGGGCGTTGAGGCGCGTCGGCAGGTTGTTCGTTTGGCAGCAGGGGGGCGTTGGTGGAGCAGATGCAAGGCGAGATGCAAACGCCAAAGCCGATCGGTTCGAAAAGAGGGGAGCAGCCTTGTGCCTGGCTATGGTCGTGTTCGGGGGTCCGTCGTCGTTTGACTCGCAACGTCAAAGGCGCAAATAGCGGACAAGCAACGACTCGGTCTGCTGAAGTGGGAGAAGGAGAATGCTCGAAGAGAAAAAGAATGAACGAAAGTCTGAAGCTGAAGACGTTTGACCTGACAGGATGAGAGATGGGTCGACGGGGCACAGACTGTGAGCGAGGGCGGACAACAAGAGGTCCAGGCGGCGGAACCAGAAGAAATTGGGACTCCGAGCGACGAAGCAGAAGAAAAGAAACGCCGGGGCAAAACAGCAAGGGAGGGTATCCCACCTCCAACTCCAACGTGCGCTTCCCAGGGGCTCCCCTCCAGCTTGGCAGTACTTGACGGTACCTTGTTCATTGGCGTCAGGGGGTATCCAGGGGCCTGACCCTGGGGGCGTGTTCAGCGTTGAGAAAGGCGTTCAGGGGTGGTTCCTGGAACGCGACAGGGGCAAGCGCCGCGGAATGTAAGGTTGTGTGGGGTCGCACTCGCATGCCTACCACAATTGGGTGATTGTAGGCGGGTTGTCTAGCGTGGGCAGGTTTCCGGCTTTCTGGGGCGTGCCAGCAGAATGGGGTTAGTAAGCTGTGAGGGTGAAAAAGGTCAAGGCTCAGAAGTTCATGAATGGAACGCGTGCCGCAAGCTTCAGTGAGGTTTGCGGGGAGAGTAGAACACCGACATTCTCGAACACACCATACCGTCATCTCTCGCTCAGCCATCAAGACAAACCAATCCAGCATCAACGAGCTGACTGATGACTGGTGTCACCTGACCACGGTAGGTAGGTACCTACCTTAGGTAAATTATCTACCTTAGATAGGTACCTGCTTGTAGGCAAGGTAGACATGGAATGAGGGACCTGAGGCCCTAAGGTAGGTGGCACCATGGTCAGTCTGAGATTATGGTGTCAAGGCAGGCACCTGGGTGGGTCTCCTTCCTTCGGCAGAGGTGCATGACCCTAGCCAGCACCTGCCGCCGGTGGACGGCAGTGTTCAACTGGGAGGCACATCTACCTGGGAAGGCGGTTGCCTGACCAAGGCACCTACCTCCCTTAGGTAGGTAGATACCTAGAAATGGATACCAACAGCGGCGAGCTGGTGCTGTCTTTCTTGCATCGTGACTTCCGCCTTGAGGAACATTCATTTCTGGATGATCATTATTCGCAGGCAAGGCACTGAGCCGAGGACCGTCATTTTCCCCGTTGTTGTCTACCTACCAGGGACACAGAGCACCAGGCGCCCTCAGCATTCCACGGCTGCGCCGGCAAACGAAAAGCCCTCATTTACGATTGAACACATTGAGATGAACTTGTCCTACGCAAGACGGAGTGTAAGCAGCCGTCCGTCATCCTTGTCACACGCTCTATTGCCTTGTCTGTCTGATCGATCATCTGGATCAGGGCACATGAGCAAGCAAGACATGTCGAGACACGAGTAACCTGGTTGAGCTCACCGCAAGACGGTTGATTGGCTTCAAGCAGAGCTCGATAAAAAAGAATATGTGCCCCCTTTTTGCACGAGGATGCCGTTATTGAGCCTCTAGATCCAAAATGCGGCGGTTTTCCTTGTTTTCCATCTCACGACTCACTTTGCATTGCAACCAACCATTCTTGCCGCAGCAGCATGTTGCAGCATCATGAATGAGCAGGCTCCAGAATCGACGCCAGATTCGCCACATTGAGTTCAGCTTCTCTGGTACTTCGTCGGATTACTCCTCCCCGTCGGATGCCCGCTGCAATATGCTTGGCTCACGGCGATCCCCTCGGCACGCCAACCTTTCTACTGAGGGCCATCAGGCAAGCGCTGGGGGCCTTTCACATGGTTGCACTGGGGTGTAGCAATGACTGCGATACATGTATAGTGAGCGCAGAGCACTAGATAGTGCGATAGTGTCACTTGGCATCCTCGACAGGCGGCATCGTTTGCTCAAATCAATGTTCAATTGGATCGCCACCCAGCTTGGTCGTTGACGAATGAGCCGCACAATTGATATACGGCGACAGCTTCCCCGCTCGATCTCATTTTAAGGGCTTCACTTTGAAGGGCCTGACTCGAGCGGCATGGTTGATGAGACGGCGGTCGGCGGACTAGACTCAGTGGTGAGTCAAGTCTCGTCCATATCGCTCCTCACTTTGCTTTTGGCTATCGTCCCTTGAGCCGTTGAGATGAGACGAGACAGGCGTCATCGACTCCTTTTTAGTTATGGGGTTCACGCAGAGCAAGACGTGTCGCGGCATCCATAGCCATGACACCATGGCGGTAGCTTGTAGCCGAAGGCGAAGACCAAGAACATCGACAAGGTGGCCTGGGCGCCAGACTGACGGGCCGTGATGGCCTCAGCGTTGCGGGACCCACGGAACCGAGCTGCTGGCCCTCAAAATGACAATGACAATGGTGCGCAGCTTGCTGACACAGGCCCATTTGATGTTGACACAGGTCGCTTCGCCTCCAACTTGATATGTGCCCCTGGCTGCACCACTCAATCGCAAGCCATAGTGCCTTTGACGCGCTTTTCAGGTTGAATTAGCAAATTCACAGGCTGGCACTGCTAATAAGTTCCAACGCCTCAGGGGCTGCGGATACCCACAGGCCACCAACGCTTCACCCACAAAACACAATCAGACGCAGAGTCCGCCAAGCGTTAATCTACGACAGAGTAGTGCCTACATGTACTTATTTCCACACCCTCAACCCCTGAGCGGCGGCTCAGCTACGTTGTTCCGCGACCAATCAGGACCCTGTACCTGACGCTTTGCCTCTTCTCCTCAGGGGCTCCCGCGTCATCCTTGAAATTTTTTGCTGCTCCGAAATGGAGGGTGTGATTTCACATGAGCAGTATGATTTCCTTTCGATCATTCGGCGATCCGTTGAACCTTTGTGACTGGGGCTGCGACACATCGTTTTAGACCTCTGAATGAGTCCCCTGCCAACATCATGAACTGAATCCGCATACAAATAGGCAGCATGTAAAGACTGGCGGCTGGGTACCCTTTTGGCGACACGTGGGTGGTAGAATCGAAGTAGCGGCCTTGCCACGATGCAGACCTAGGTTGGAGCAGGCATCATTTTTTGAACGAGGCTGCAATAAAATCTGGTACTTTCTGGCTCAAGATGCAGGGCATCTTTGACGGGCAACCCGAAAGCTACTGCTTACCGACATGATGATGAACAGTTCCACTTCCTGTCCAGACAGCGGACTTTGGCTGTCAGCACCTATTGTTCCGAGGATCGAACTGTCAATCCGCCGAGGCCTGTCCAGCGGCTGTCACCGCAGCATTCCAGCTGCCAACAAGGGGGCCACGAGGCGACGGCGTGTCTCACCTGGAGCCAAATCAGCCACCGAAGATGGTGAAGAAGATGAAGCATGGCCTGAGCTCAATCACAAATTTGCAACGGCTCTCCATGTCCCTTTCTTCACGATGTTAACGGGCTACGCGCTACCCTCAGCCGAGCAGCAACCCCAGGTCAAGCAAGAAACAAACGGTCCGCAGGTGCACAGATGAAGTGGCGACGAGCATGACGATGACTTCATCTTCATTTGCGGAGTCTTCGATCGGTGCAAAGCAGGCGTCACATCTTGATTAACCCGGCGGACAGCGGGGCTCGTTCATCTGAAGTCAAGTTCTCAATGGCTGGGACATGGAGGCTGGCCAGACTTGCCAGATTCTTCGCCTGGGACTACAGGACTTTGCGGGGCTAACCTTGCCATTGCCCGTCCATCATGAGGCGGGATTAACGGGCGGAGCGAACGCATGTCAGATTCTGAGTTGGACGCGCTGGGATCGCTTGGTGCCGGCGATGATCATTGAAAGAAAAGTTTGCGATCGTGATGCAACCCTCGTGCGGAGTCACGACAAAGGTAATGAACTCAGGATACATAGACAATCCCACGATGCGTCTGCCAAACGTGTCTGACTCGACAGGCCTGACCAGCGTGCAGGGCTGTGATTACAGGGCTGTTTTGGGGTCATGCCTACATCGTGGACGGCTCTGGCACATCTCATGTGCCAATTGTAAGTTACAGTCCGAAATTGCACCTTCTGCTGCCGGCGGTACTTGGAAAAACACGCAACAGGCCAAACGAGGTTGACCGTTTAAAGCTTCCAGACTGCCATCTGTGTAGCCGGCGATGATACCATGGGGCGGTGGATAAGGACACCTCCCCTCCATGTGATGTGGCTCCGAGTCATCTCGCTACCATCTAGACGTCTCCGCCCGCCGGAGCCCGATGCTGTAGCAGCTAGGTCCCAGAAGAGGAGCTGAAGACAGGCTGGCTCAGCTAGGAAGCAAAGAAAATTTCGGATGAGGGGAGACGTTGAGGATCAGATCTCGATTGTGTTCGCATGAGTCCCACAACCTTGGAGAAGGACAATGAGCTCCCGATGACGGGACAAAGGAGAGGAGAAGCGAGACTAGTCCGCCAGCGGCGCCCACCGTCTGCGGCCCGGGAGGAGGCCCTTTTGGCGCCAGGCTCGTGGGACCTACGTACATGGTACGCACAATCTCTTAAGGGTCTCAACAGAGCTTTGATCTAGCCCTCAACAAGCAACTTCGGATCTGAGAACGTCGCAATGAGCGCTAGGAAGGACTGGAACGCGTCAACTTGCATTGGTGGTGTGATGAGACGCGGGGTTCTTGCAGACGAGACGCGCCGAACTTTGTTGATTCATTTCCCATCTTGATACTGGCGTGACGGGCGCGCCCCGGAGAGCGGGGTAGCGCGTGCCTGCGTGTCTGTGAGTCCAGTCCGGCAAAGCTAGACTGTCGATTCGGCCCTGCTCGTGCGTTGTAGGGCAGTATCGTAGATGTGATGCCTGCGTTGTGTGATCATCGGTTCGGCGAATGCATGGCTCACTGATGGGAAACGGGGCCATTGGTTCCAGGGTGTTTTGAGAACAGCTTGAATGAGTCTCCAGACGATCGGCTCCCATTCCGATGAGGAATCCCACCAAGCTGGCGATGCTGGCAATGCTGATCCGGCGAGATGATCTTCTCGGAGCACAGCGAAGGTCACATCGTTCCCAGCGGCCACTCACTATCACGCCGTTGAAGATTGCTAGGGCTGAGCCTGGACCTACATGTAGGTACTTGTACTGGCAGGTAGACAAATGGTCCTGACTCGTCGAGTAGGTATTGTTCAATCCAACTTGTTTCACCGACGACTCACCGACTGAACGCTCTGACACTCACTTCTTTGCTGACTAAGTAGATGGCCGCTTGTTCATTGGATACGACCATGGGGGTTAACCTTCCCTCGCTGGGCCATGGATCACCAACCGACCTCATTCTACGGGTTACAATCTCGACGGCGCTCTTCACTCGAACGAGTCAATCTGCGTGTGGCCTCGCGAGAGCCTCAGGACCGGCGAGGCGTGCAGGCAACATCTCCATTACTGCACTCAATGTGGCGGAAGCATCTTTCCAGCAACGTATCCGATAGTGACCCAGTCCTCAACTACATTCCACGTCGCATGCCCAATCATTGACCCCGCCCTTGGTCATCTTCGCCGAAACACTTTGCGTCATGGAGGACGCTCAACGGCCGAAGCAGGCTGCCTGTTTGGTCTGTCGCAAAAGCAAGATAAAATGCGATTGGTCCAAGGATCAAGCCAAATGCAAGAGATGTGTGCAGCTCAATGCTGAATGTATTCGTCCCACTTTCCATGCTGGGCGGCAAAAGGGCATTAAGAAGTGTGACTGCCTGCACTATGCCCCCCTCAGAGACGATTGCTAACAATAGACAGCAAGCGCAAAGGCTTGGAGAAAGCCCTCTTTCAGGTAGAACAGGCTCTGAAGCGCGTCAAGTCAGGCGAGCAGAACGATGAGGACAGCAGGGCTCTGTTCGACCTTCAAAATCTGCTCGTTGAAACGAAGGATCATCCATCCGTGAGCTTCAGTACGACGAGATTGCAACGTCGTGAAACTGTGGATGGCGGTGATGATCTTTCGACGGATGAAGATGATGAGACGGAGGACACCCCTGATAGCAATGCGTACGTCGCACAGCATAGAGAAGGCAGTCTGACGATTGATGATGCCGAAAACCCTCTCCAGCTGCTCGCTCGGGCATCCAACCTCCAGCTGTCTCCGACTCCTGGCGGTCCTTCGCCTGGGCAGGTCACTAAGAGCGGCCGGAAGAAGCTCCAGCCTGAACAACCCGACGAGGATACTGAAATACAGTCATTTTTCACGTCTGTGCGTGTCAACCTCGACGTTGGCGATGAAATCGATCCCATCAGCATGGGTCTCGTAACAGAGGCGGAAGCTGAAGATCTATTTGCGTAGTGAGTGCGGAAATTGACGGAGACCATTGTCTTCTTGCTAACAGGAAGTTCCTAGTTTCCACAAGAACCTTGCCCACACCCGATGGGGACTTGATCCTGTCATCAACACAGTATCATTCACAAGGGCCCGGTCTGCGTTTCTGACCACATCAATCATGGCTTCCTCAGCGCTCTTCAGACCACAAGATGCTGCGCTGTCGAAGCGACTATCTACTCATGCCAAGAGCCTGGCGCACAGAGTCGTCATCAAAGGACACAAATCGGTCGAAATCGTGCTTGCATTCATGGTGAATGTCCCATGGATGTTCCCAGGCCAGCATAGCACGGACGACGAGACGTGCTGGTATGTTTCCATGGCAATGACCATCGCGATAGACCTCTCCGTACATAAGCTGCTCGTTTCAACGGACATGCTCGGTTCCGCAGCAGCGGTCGCTCGCGGTGACTGCGTTGATCCCCGTACCGCCATGGCTATTGACGGACTCGGCAACATTGACCCAGCGTCAACCATGGGCAGACGGTTACTTCGACGGCGAGAACGATGCTGGATTGCATTGTTTGTGCTTGAACGTGGCATGTCTTTAGCTCGCGGACGAAGCTTCACGGTTCCCATTACGCGGTCTTTGCGGGACTGTGACAACTGGCACAGGTCAGATATTGCTGATCCTGCCGATGGACATCTGGTTTCCATGGCTGTTCTGCGTCGTGACTTGGACAGCATCTTCGCGACAGTCCGGGCAATGTGCGATGGATCACAAAACACATTCTCGGATGGATCTCTCATCGCCCAATCGATTCAAGGCGCGATCGAACGCTTCTTTGATCAATGGAATACAGACTGGGGTTTATCTATTGGATCTGGACCGGAGCGAAAACTGCCACCTTATGTTGAAATTCTTGTCACTCATACACGTTTATCCATCTACAGCGGCGTCATCAATCACCCGACAGCTCCCATTGAAGTACGCCAGTTCTTCCGCACGGCTGGCATGTCATCGGCATTGACGGTTCTACGGGTAGCCATCCAGGGCGAAGCTAGGCTTCAGTCGATGCCGAACAACACGTGTATCATGATTGCATTTGCAGCATGCTTCGCTCTCACGCTGAGCGCATACGCCAGTGGAAGCTCCAACCTGGCCCCAAGTGTCCGAAATCTCATCGAGCAGACAGCGTGCGTCCTCGAGCGCGTCGGCAACAAAACGAAACACCGCAATGGGTTATCCACACTCTACGGCAAATACCTGCGAGGCCTCACCAAAAAGGCTGCTACTGCGGCTGAAGAGCACTCGGTGGCGCACTTCCAACCCGCCGCCGAGACACTGGGGGCTGCCCAGTTCGGCTTCACCGCTATCCCAGCAAGCAATGACCAGAGTCTGGCGGCCCTCGGAACAGCGGAAGCACAGCCGGGCTATCCACAACCGCCAACACAGTCACAGTTGTGGCCGGAGACCTTGCAGTTCTCGACCATGTCTGATGAGCAGATCATTGAGATCCTCAATCAGCCGCACAATTCCGTTCGACCCAGCAGGTGCCAACCTCTCATGGGAAGACATGGACAATTTTGAAGGGCTCAACTGGCCAAATCTGCCGGGTTTCAATTACTAAATAGGGGTCGCGAATGAATGACTACTACAGGCTATGTGTGGAAACACTCAAATCTTCATAGTGGTACCGCCTGCAGGAACAAAATTCCACTGTGTCAGTATCCTCAGCTGTTCCATGAATACGAACGTCAGAATAGTGTTTGGCCTACAGCTGTCAGTATATGGCCATATCAAACTGTTGTTCGGAGAGGCTTACGTGAGCCGCAGCCAAGCAGGTGTCCAGCCTTTCATGAGGAAGCGAGGACCCTCCTCCCTCAAGCTTGTGCGGATGATCTGGATAACAGACTACAGGGATCATCGGTCAGCTTGGCCGGAATATGTGGTAGAAGAGATTTTACTGACGTTGCCACCTGATCCAGCAGCGGACGCACTCTGGATCCTGCTCTTGAGCACGTCGGCGGGTGCGCAGATTGTGGTGGCGACAGTGCCTGCCAAGAATGAGGCGAGAGTATGTGTTCGAATATCATCCTTGAGGCCGCCACTCGCCAGGAGGTGGTGCTTCGCCGTGGAATATCTGGACAAATATCAGCGGACGTCCAGCCTTGAGCTTGCGTACGATGGAACAAACGTTGCGATCTGTCCAACATCTACAATGGTTAGCCATTAGCTCGCAGTAGTGGTGTTTGCCTCGAACTCACTCATCAGAATGCTTCGCACAACATTCGCAGACATGCCACGCGCAAATGTCGCCAGCCCCTCGTCTCTTCCTATGCGATAGAACCCCGCTAAGGCGTTTGCGTATGCGAAACGTTCGGCAGGCGCCTTTGCGCCGTCTGCGCACATCCGGACGAGGACTACTTCTGCCGGGTTTCCAACGAGACCGGCCAGGCCGCCGGCAGCGCCAGCGCAGGCGATCGTCCAGGCCGTCGACAGCTTTTGCTGTCCCGTCCACCTTTGTGCCCGGCCGGCAAGGTTGTTATACAGGCCAAATCTTGCTGTGGAATACATCGACTGTCGCACGATAGACGCTGAGAGACCAGACCAAAGGGATGGAATGCCTTCAGATGTCAATCATCCATTCGACCATGTATCAGGAGAAAGCGCAGCACTTACCGTCTCGCGCTGCAAATCGGTACATGGCACGGAACATGGAGTCTCTTGACTTGAGGACTTGCATACGACTAGACGTATTAGCTGGCCAAACACGGTTCTCTGGCATGGCTGGTTGGACCTCACTATTTGGTCTGGTCCAGTGGGTGGGCTGATTTTGTCAGCCAATGCTTTGAGATGGTGGTGAGTAGGAAACTCACTGAAGCAAACGGCCATGGAAGCGGCAGCACCGCTGGAATAATCATCAGCTTGAGATAATTCAAACCTCGGGGGCGGGGGAAACTCACCCGAGCCAAAATGGCTCCTTTTGCTTGGTTGAAGACGACATAGCAGGAATGAAGAAAGAGGTATCAAGATAAAGAGCCGAACACAGCGATATGGTGGGATCTATATTCAGATCACAGAAGTCACAAATTCTTGAATTGTTGTGTTGTTCGCCGAGCAGCGACGTAAGTGCAGAATAGGCGAAGATGCAGCACTCGACGTGATCGATATCGTCCGATCATGCTTTAGTTATCTTACATGCACCAGGCCTTTCCCAGGGCCTCCACATCATACCCCATATCCGACCCCTCATGCACGTATTAATTCAGACACTTCTCGGAGGTTGATGCGTGGCCGACAAACTCTTGACCTTCAGTATACACACTCTGCGCCGAGCTGCCCGTCGGACAGCAAATGTACAGTCCGGGCCCCCGCAGTCAAGATTGGGGGTGATTCCACAGCCGTGGGACATTCAGGTTCCCCAAAGACTGCCGGAGTTCACATTTGGGGCCCGACCCTCGGTAGCTGTTTTGCCATCCGACCTTCGGCAGGACGGCAGCATTGATCGCCAACAAACAAAAGTGCCATCATCGAATTGATTTCTCGACTCAATGGACCCCGATCATCCTGCAAATCAAGCTGCGAATATTGACACACGTCTAAAGCAACAGCGTCAACAGAAGAAACAAGACCCCACCATGTCGAAGCTCGCCCCTGGCCTCAAGGCTCTCATCAACGCGCCTTTTGCGCGAGGCGATCCGACCGCAGCTCCAGCAAGAATCCGCGAAGTCTACAGCGCCATCGCCAGCGACGCCGTGAGGCGAAACGTCGGCCTCAAGCCCTGGGTCGTGCTTTCGACCGCTGCAACATTCACCCTTAATGCCCCCAATGCGCTGCCTGTGCTCCACGAGGTGGCGACAGCCTCCTCGGCTCATGACAGCAGCAGCAGCAGCAGCGACGCAGCCGTGCGAACTGCCGAGCTCATCCGCGAAGTCGGTCTGAAGTGTATCTCCTTCAACGGCATCCCCCGATCCATTAACTGCCTCAACGCCTTTCACGCCGCACTTCCCGCCGAAGTGAAGTCGCGCCTCGAGACGCAGCCGAGCCGCGCGCCCGACGAGACAACAGGGCCCCGTGGGCGTGCCCTCTGGAACAGCGTATACGCGCCCTTCGAAGACAAGCTGGTTACGAAGCTGGCGACCTCTCACCCGGATCTACCAGTACATATTCTCAACAGCCACTACGGACCGTTGCTGTCTGAGCCGGCAGCTGAGAAGAGGGGCAACCTCGCCGCAACGGGGCGCGTGCTGACGAGCGTTATCGCTATTGCGTGCCTCAGGGCGCAGACGGGTGTCGGTCCACAGGTGCTGAGCCATGTTTTCGGCCTGCGAAAGGCGATCGAGGACGGCAGCTACAAGGCGGCGGGCGAGGAAGAGGTGGAGGGTGCCGAGTGGTTGGCTGGAGATGAGGGTAGCGAGTGGTTGTTGAAGAGCGTGGATTCCATTTCGGAGGCGCTAGGTGGGGGGAACTTTGCAGCGAGAGCGAAGCTGTAGATGTATTTCAACGCTTAATAATTCATGTTCACGGATTCATGATTTGAGGCATGATTCTACTTCATTCAGGTTCCGCTACCAACAGCGAGCCGTCTTGATATGGTCAGTGTTTTCGTTGAGACAGCTTGACTCATCTGCATCGTCGAATTGTAGCAATTAGAATTTGTAAAGAAGTTAACCCAACGGTTTACTCTTACTCTGTGGATTCTTCCAAAAGATTCTCGGGATAGAGCACAGTCTGAAGCAGACACTTCACTGCGACCGACACAAGGGACAGGCGTTGTCTGCGTCACTTGAAAGCTTCACAACATGAACGAAGAGATTTGGAATATATTTGCGCCAGAGAAAAAAAGCCAAGATCCAGCCAACCAACACCTGCCGATGCTACACAGAGATATTCCTTCTACCTTACTCCATAACCTTCAGATCCTTGGCCACGGTGAACTGTGCGTCAGTCTTGGCCTGAACCTCTTCAAGCTCAACGCCCGGCGCAATCTCCGTCAACGTCAATTTGCCGGCCTCCCGGTCCACTTCAAACACGCACTGCAGACCGTTAGTAAAATTTCAAAGAAAGAAGCATCGCCAGGAAGTACTCACAAGGTCTGTGATGATGGTGCTCACAACGTTAGCACCCGTCAGCGGCAAGCTGCAGCTCTGAACCACCTTGGCGCTTCCATCCTTGGCCACGTGCTCGGTGGCGACGACAATCTTGGTGCCTTCAGGATTGGAGACCAGATCCATCGCACCACCCATGCCCTTCATGACCTTGCCTGGAATCATGTAGTTGGCCAGGTCGCCCGAGGCGCTGACCTGCAGTGCGCCGAGGATCGACACATCGACATGCCCGCCGCGGATCATGCCGAAGGACTCGGCGCTGTCGAACGTTGCGGCACCGGGAACGAGCGTGACAGTCTCCTTGCCAGCGTTGACGATATCGGCGTCGGCGTCGGCTGCCGTAGCAGGGTAAGGGCCCATGCCAAGGATACCGTTCTCCGACTGCAGCCAGACATTGGCGCCCTTGGGAAGGAAAGATGGCGCCAGCGTTGGCAAACCGACGCCAAGATTGACATAAAAGCCCTCCTTGAGCTCTTTCGCCGCGCGCTTAGCGATGCGGTCACGGCGCGTCTGGGCAGCGCTCGCTGAGGAGGAGGTTGAGGATGGCGAACCGGGGGGCGATGCGAGGGACTCTTGTGTCTTGAGGATCTCAATATTCTTCTCGGCCGTCGCCGGCACAATGCGATCGACATAGATGCCGGGGAGATCGACGTCGTTGGGATCAATGGCGCCAGCAGGCACAATGTTCTCGGCCTCGACGATGGTCAGGGTGGCGGCTTTGGCCATGATGGGACCGAAGGCCTTGGTCGTGTACCGGAAGACGCAGTTGCCGGCCTCGTCGACCTTCCAGGCGCGCAGGATAGCCACATCGCCCGTGAGCGCCTTCTCCATGAGATAGGTCTTGCCGCCAAACTCTCGGCTCTCGCGAGCGTTGCCTCGCTCGAGTACTTTGCCCGAGGCATCGAGCCGCACAGGAATGTCGCCCGTCTGCAGCAGGGAGTGAGCGCCCGTTGGGGTGTAGAAGGCGGGGATACCGGCGCCGCCCGCGCGTATCCTCTCGGCGAGGGTGCCTTGCGGGCACAGCTCGATGCCGATTTCACCCGTCAAATATTTCTTCTCCAAAGCCTTGTTGTTGCCGAGGAAGGACAGAATCAGCCTGCTAACTTGGCCCGCCTTGGTGAGAACCGAAAGGCCGCCCTTGCCTTCCTGGCCGGCATTGTTGGAGACGGCCGTGAGGGAGTGCAGGGATTCGGGGCCGCGGCGGTGGAGGGCAGTGATGAGTGTTTCTAAACGCAAAGAATGAGCACAAGCCTCGGGAAGGGCAAAGGCAGGCAGAATAGAGCTTGCAACGATGAGGTGAATGAGACGTACCGGCAACACCACAAAGGCCGAAACCAGAGCTGAGAATTGTCGACCCGCTCTTGATGTCGGCGACCGCATGATCCGCCGACTCAAACAGCTTCGACCCGCCCCTCTTCACCTCGGGCGCCTTGGCCGAGAACATGGCTGAAGACGTCGCAAACGTCCTCCAGGGTAGCGGCCTCGCGGACCGCGCGCAAACAAACCTCGCACTGCGTACCTGGCAAACAGGTGGTCTCACCTCGAGTGATGCCCTAAGCAGCACTCTTGGGCGCAGCGCGCATTGTGTGGCTCGCATGGTGCTGGGAATAGTTTTGTTGGCTGAGTCTGGGATCCAGTGTCGTTGCGTGGCGGTCGCACTCTGTCGCTTCTGAAAATCTCAGATTCTCCGTCGCATCGAATGCCTTTCAATTGGCTTTAGGCCTCGTGAGAAGGAGGCTTCCTGATGGGCAGGCTTGACTTTTGATTGTCGCAGTACGGCAATGCGGTCCCCTAATCTGACTCCCGAAAGCGGCCGATAGCTCTCCAAGCTCTCCAATTTTGCCCCACGCAGAGTGACGTCTTGGAGGGTCTCGGGGTTCTAGAGTTCACTGGGCGGTCGAGAGGCTCGGGGTCAAAAGAAGTACCGAACAGGAACTGAACATGAGGTGCCTCGGCGTCAGTGGGGATCAGCTCAAAGGGTGCCGCAACTCCCTCTTCCCCGCTCTTAACAGATCATTGTGACCTCGGGACGGAGGATCGAATGGCACAGGGGGTCCATAGTCAAGTAGGTTTTTCGCGTCGGAGGACAAAAGTGTCAAGCATGCCCCATCAGAAATGGCTGTGTTGTGGGTTGAGTCAAAATGGTACCTGACCATCGATGGCGCATCACTGCCCACATGTTCATCACATGCCGTAGCCCACCGGTCGGTAAACGGACATAATCATTGAAACCAGAGGCCAGCTGGGCGCGATGCTTTTGACGATGCGATCAATACTTCTAAGCGATCGCAACGACCAGCATGCGACGCCGAGGTTGATTATATATGTATGTACTGCAATGAATCCGTTCGAGGGTCTTGTCAGGAATCATCTAGAATACGACATCATCAAGCTGTGACAACAGGTAATCGCACGCTCTGGTTTGGAAATACGGAGGCGAATTGTAGAGACGGGTTGTTTTGTGCCAATCTTTTGTTCAGGCGTTTGAGAAGCTAACAGTCGCATCTCCTGTTACGCACCAATGAGACCTCTAAAGAGGCAGGTTGCGGTGCCCTGCTTTCGGGGGTTGTTGTCTCTGGGTGTCATAGCCACGGCGGTTTGCTGTCAGGATTGCATCTGGCTTCGTTCACTCGTGCGATGACAGAGCTTCACGGCAGATGCATGTGCAATAGCAGGGTCAGTTGCTACATGCTTAGGCAAGTAGAGCATGCAACATGGGCGGGCAACTTGGACCAATCGCGATATGGCATGTTCATATACGTTCAGTAAATGACTAGATAGCAGCGCAACACAAACCCGCGCTACAAAAGCAATCCATCGCACAGCTCTCATACAATCCATTACTGCCCAGAAATAAGACTCACTGCAAAGCCCCTGGACTGAGGTGAGGAAGAATGCGGGACAACTCATGACCACGCTCCTTAATCCGAATCAGAGCTGGAGCTGGAGCTGGAGCTGCCGCTTCCCCTCCGCTTGTGGTGTTTTTTCTCCTTCTTCTCCTTCTTGTGCTTCTTGTGCTTCTTCTCGAACTTGTTCTCCAACAAGTTGGCGCCGATGGCACCGGCCACGGCGCCTCCGATAGTGCCAAGCGCACCCCCACCTGCGGCATGGGCCGCCCAGCCGGCCGCTCCGCCGCCGACGAGCGTCGCGCCAAGGCCGCGCTCGTCCTGGGGACCGCCGTGCTGGCCCTGCTGCGGGTATGCTGGATACCCGCTCTGCTGGAGACCGCCGTGCTGCGGCGGGTAGGACGAGTGCTGCCGATTGTCCTGGCCGTAGCCTTGGGGAGGATGGCTCTGGCCGTAGCCGGGTTGGGGCGAGTGGCCTCCGTAGCTTGGCTGCGGCGAATGCCCGCCGTAGCCTTGTTGGGGACCTCCATAGCTCTGGTGAGGAGGAGGGCCGCCGTAGGCCTGCTGAGGTGAAGGCTGATTATACTGATGCTGAGGAGGATAGGGAGAAGTTTGTCGGTTGTCTTGACCGTAGGGCTGGTGCGATGGGGGTCCGCCGCCGTAGTTCTGCTGGGGAGGGCCTTGGTTGTATGACGATTGTGGAGGGTATCCGCCCTGCTGCTAAGTGGCTGTTACGATGGATGCAGTACCGCCACGAGAAAAGAAAAACTTACCTGAGGGTAGCCTTGCGATTGGTAGCCCTGGGGAGGTCCTTGGCCTTGGCTGTAACCTTGCGGCTGTTGATAGCCACCTCCCCCACCTCCGTAGTAGTCTTGAGAGGACATGATGTCTGTTTGCGATGGAATGCGCCGGCGAATTTCAACCCTTAGAATGGCGGCTCGCTGTGGACTGATGATGAAAGTAGAGGAAAAGGTGGAATGCCAAAATGAGGGAAACAGACAGATCGCCTCCTACTTAGGGTATTGAGAATGCCTGTACAAAGGGGAACGACTGAACCAAATGCGACAAGGAGGCAGCCAAGCGCCGATGATCCCGACAGCGCGGATTGGCGGGGTAGTTCCGTCATACGTGGCGCAGCCGCTGTCAGCCCCCGCCAGCCACCCCCTAAGCCCTGGACCCTGCTGCCTGCCCCTGGGGGATCATCAGTTTGTTCGCCATCATTAAAAGATGTGCCTCATAAGGCTGATTGCCACGAGCTAGTGATTCGACGGCGATTTCTCGGGGGACTATCAGGCATGAGGGTCGTTAGTGTCTGGGATGGTGCCTTGATTTAGACCAGATGCAGGGGGACAAACGTACAAATCTTTCGAACTTCATGCCCGCATCATGCGAGCCTTCAACCACTCACAGAGAGTAAGCAAGCCCGGCTCGGCGTCTGACAGCATACGGATTAGGTGCCATGAGTGGGGCGTACAACTCGTTGTATCTCTCAGCCCGAGTCCTGCAAGACCTCGGTGCAAGACCTGGGTCCAAGACCAGCTCACCTTGCGAACGATGCACATAGGCTTTGCAACATCGGCAGGGTTGCTGTCCAAGCCAGGCTCTTTGATGCGGACTGTAAATAATTGGTGACGATCCTCAGCCGAGCTGTGGCCCCAACGGAGGATCATTGTAACCCAACACGATCCAAGAACGAATTCGATGTCTGTGATCAAGCATCATGTTGCAAATGAATCCACCCAGACTACCTAGAATACATGATTGTGTAGTCCTTTTTACCTTGAAGCCATTTTACTACACCGCTGCCATATCCATTGTAGAGGCATGATAGGACCATGTACCATATGCGTCTGATACAGGTAATCAACGCTTTCTTTGAGGCCGAACCAACGCATTGTTGCTCTTTCGCCCCTGTGGTCGTATTCACGCAGCGCGTTGCACACAACTCGCCAATAATACATTCACTTCGGTCATATTCGCGGGGCCACTAACGGCGTGAAACATTCATTATGTGCTGACCGAACAGTGCAACAATCCTGGAGTTGCTTGCGTGTTGGTTCTGACCACTACCAGTGAATGTATGTAATCGAGTACAATTGATTGTGGAACATGAAACGAACAAGCTGAGTTCGTCAAAGAGTCCTCCAAAGGCTTCAAGTATACTTAAATAGGCGTTCCTCTCAAAGTAGCTAGAGACGACTCATCAAAGCGTGCGATCATTATCTGTTTGAGAACTCATATTTGACAGCAAACTCAATTTCTTCTCCGCAGAACTGGCCCGAAATGATCATCAATCCCTACCAGGCCAATGCCGAAACCATTTCCAAAGGGACTTGGGCCTTTTGTCTGACGTCCAGACAATACGATATCAAGGGGCGACTACACTCGAAATTGATCAGATTCGGGTACATCCTACCCAACGTGGCCACACACCTTCAGCGGCTCTGCGACCAACCACGCGGGCGGACTGGCCGGCGCCAGCTGCTCAGGTTCGAAAATAACAACGTCATCCCCCTGGATGAATCTTCTTCAAAGGCTCTCGAGGACACATTTAAAGAGGTATGCGCCCGGCTTCATGCCGACCCTCAAGCCAGAGGGCTCTGGGGTAAAGATAGTCCCGAGATTCAAGAAGCAACACCTGTCATCGGCGCACCCATTCCGTTCAACATGATTTATGGCGTAGTGCCCCTCTTCGGAATTGTGACCAGTGGTGCTCACCTCAATGCGTTCCACGGCGAGGGTGAAAAGATGAGAATCTGGCTGGCACAACGGGGGGCTTCCAAGTCCTCTTACCCAAACTGCTTTGATCAAATTGTGGCAGGCGGCAACGATGGTAGGCAGGATCAGACTCCGCTCGACATCATTCTTCGCGAAGCCAAAGAGGAAGTAAAAGACGCCCAACTTCATGAAACACTCAAGAAAGCCAAAGGACCAGACGCCATCATAACTTACCACGTCTTCAATCCCACTGCTCCAGGAACTGCCGCAACGATTGCAGCTGGAAAAATTGAACCTGGAATACGATACGTGTTCGACTATGAAGTGCGTGATGCCAATCACGTCTTCAAGAAGAATGAAGTTGACATTGCTCACATTAAGAGTTACACTGTGACACAGGTCAAGGATATGCTGAGACAGGGCCGATTCAAGCCTAACTGTGGGTTTGTTATGCTCAACTTTCTCATTAGAAAGGGCAATATTAGGGATGACTACCCATTGTACCAGGAAACGGGGCGGGGTCTCGAATTCCCTTACATCTGGAAAAGAAGGCACAACCTGCAATGAAGAGTCATACTTAAGCATTTAACGTCAAGAAAGACGTCATGATGCGGCGTACGAATGACCTGTTGGTGAAACCACGCGCCAACTCTACGCGCGTCAGTAGCACCAAGTCCGCTGAAGACGGGCGGTAGAGTACTTGAAGCCTTCGGATGACCCGAAGATCGGCCATCAATGGCTTCAGGAGAGGGATAGATATGTGCCATTCCACGTGCGACTACAGGAAAGGAAATCACAATTCTGCCGGCGCTATCGGAATTACGGGCAGTCGACTACATGGTTGCCACTACTTAGCGTAGACCAAATCATATCTTTTATCGTTATGGATGCCGAAAATAAACAGATCCGGTTCGAGGGTTAGTCGAGAGTGAGACTAAAAACTGGTGGACTCCGCCGTCGGTAGCGTTAGTCGTTTAGGGCAGCTCAATAGTCGTGGAAGCTGTACGTTGGTCAGTCAAGATATTCGTCAGGACCTCACCACCAAGACACCCCACAGCTGACTGCTCGTGGTCAAAGTTCGCCTAGTTTCTGTGTTCCGTGGCCATGCATTGAAAGACTAAACCTCGGACGAGCGGATGCGCTGTTCTTATATAAACCCCTTTCGTAGTCGATTGGTAGAAACGCTGTGGCATCGCGAGGCCACAGAACTTGTGAAGGTGAATTCTTCAAAGCGACGACGAGAAAAAAGAAAGTCCAGAGATATTCGTCGGACTTAAACCTCGTCGAGATGAGCGATCCAGCAAATCAGAAGTATAGTCGATGGGACGCAGACGTAGTGGAGAGTGTCAAACCTAGCGAGGCTGAGGATATAAGGCAGACGCCGGGCAGATCAATGAGATCCAGCGACTATATTCTCAAAGAAACGACAGTTATTGCCTGGCTGGGACACATTCTAGGACACAGGGAATTGTGAAGGGAGCTTTCATTGTTCCCGACGACCTGCCACCGCACCTCAAGCAGACGGAGCTTTTCGAGAGGGATGGCGAGAATCCCATGATCTGCAGATACAGGTCGGAGCCTAGTGGCCCTTTTCTTGATGCAAGGTCCGGAATACACATCTAGAGTCGACTCGATTCTATTCTCAAAAAGCCTATCGATTCGGCGACTACGTTGTCAAGTACAATCTCGTGCCCTCCGGCGAGGCTTAGAAGCAACGCGCTGAAGAATATGTTGACGCCCACCCCGATGGTGTCCTGCTTGAGTGGCGAAGGGAATTCTACCAAGACAATGACGCGGAAAATCTTCCAGGTGCAATTGCTCGAGAATCTCGAGGATCAGCCGGTTGAGTACGCTGGAAAAGAGTGGGATTCCGAGAAGTATCCATGGCAGACGGTAGCGAAATTGGTCATCCCCAAGCAAGAGAGTTTGACGAGAAAACGAACCAATCCTGGGTTGACGATCTTCGTATTGATCCGTGGCACGGCCTTGTCAAACTTCAACCTCTTGGGAGCCCGAACAGGCTTCGACGTAGAGGTGGGCAAGCTGGCATTCCATCTTTTGCGGTGTGGCCGTTGAACCCAAACAGCAGCAAGTACGCTTACAGCACAATGGGAGGACCGAGGCCAATGTGGGAAGCTTCGACGAGGTCGTCGGCTTCTAGTGCAGAGATAGATGCTCCTTGGGCTTCACCAAAGGGTCGGCACGATGGCCAAGGCACGCAGGCACCAATGGACGTTGATCAGAACAGTGTTTACAAAGTGCAAATACGCCGCAGATCTTGCAATAGACGGCATCTTGCCAATGCTCAGATGACAACTTGTGAAAAGTATGCATACGCATGTCACCATCTATGACTTATGGGAATGGCCAGATCCATGTTCCGATGGAGCGGCACTGCTGTTGCGCCTGCCCAAACCGAAGAACCCTCGCTTCTTGGGCTTGACTGGCGAGGTCAACCCTTCCAGCGAACCGTCCTTGATGGTCTCGATCTTCATATGAGAAGTCGGGAAGATGCCATGTTTTCCCTTGCTGGTAGTACCGACCCAGTACCAAGCATCCGGATCGTCCCCTATGTCTTGGTCAGCTCACGCCTCCGACTTCAGTCAGACGCATCGCAGTACTCACAATCCAGGTTTGTAATGGTCTCTCCCTTGTCAAAGCCCAACCAGCCAGGCCCAGTTCCGGCCTTGACATCCCATTTCCACCTAGCAACACCACTTCGCTGCGTGCGCGGTGGCGCCTGTCCAGCTAGCTTGCCCCTTCGCGGTGCCTCGAGCTGGACCCATCGAGCCTGGAAGGCGCCAAAGATGCCGTCGTGCCACCCGAGACACCACTTGCCGCCCCAGCGTTCTGGGAATTCAACGCCGATTATCCGCGCTCCTGCAAAGAACTGAAGGACGTCTGTGCCGGGCTCAGGCCGGGCGAGGGGCTTCTCATCTGGCATCTGGACATGATCACGTGTAGCGACAGCCGACGGCAGCGACGCTCCGCCGTCTGGAGGCCCGCCTGGTGGAGCGGCGGGGTTGGGAAAGTGTATATCAAAGTCGTGCTCGTTAGGCTCACCAGTAATGGTGCCATACAAGACAGTCAGGCCGGGGACGTCTGGGAGTGGCTGTGGGTGGCGGGCAAGATGACGCAGGAGAAGGGCGGCGGACTGGAAGACGGTGGCGTCGCCTTCGTAGGTGGTTGAGCCAATGTGAACACAGAAAGGGCATCCATAGGAGGTCTTGGTCATGTGCCTGGTCGCCATGTGCGACTTGTAGAGGAATCGTCGACGGTAACGGATGCCTTCGCCTTGGAGATCGGCAATAGCTGCACGTGTCAGTGGAGAGGCGAGGTAGCAAGAAACAGGCATATACTTACACTCCTTGTCAGTATCCTGCAGCAGCTGGCTGTGTTTGTGCTCATACTCGCAGTGCATGCATTGCGCCCTGGCGTCTGCGAATACTGGGGGCGGTGCGCCGAACATGTGTCCGTACAGAATATCCTGTGTGTATGGCGTCGGTTTTGGCACATCTCCTGCACCACCAACCTTCTTGACAGCATCACCAGGTCCGCTTTCTTTGAAAATTTTCGCCCCTTTGCAGAACCCCTTCCTCTCATAGAAGGAACTATCGGGTCCGATGACCAGATCAACTACTTTCCACGACGGGTTGCCTATGGTGGATGTGGTATCTGGAATCGTTGACCTGTCTGATGACGCCCATTCCTCAATCAGGATGGACTTGTTCTCGCGCTCCGAAAGGCTCGGTACCCTGGCATCTCGCGTTTGCAGCGATGCCACGGTCAAGGATGGTGAGTGCGAAATATCGTCGTGCTCGTACAATGCGGGGGCGGGGGATTTGTGACTATAGTGCCGTGGAGGCGACATATAGCTTGTGGCGCTGGATAGGGTCGAGCCCCTGTTGCTAGTATGCGGGCTAGTCATGTCATAATTTGAGCTGAGTCGGTCAGAGCTGGCGCCAGTCATACGTCGATCGGGGTGCGATGTTGGCCCGTGGTCACTATAGTTGTGGCCCATGCCGAGGCCCAGAGACGCCGCCAGGGGTTCAGGGGAAGAGGATAGGTGCGCCAGATGGACGCCTAGCCGCCTCTCGACCGGGCTCATAGGCTCTGCGGCAAGGCGAATTCTTTCCATCTCAGCTCGAAGGTAATCAGGCCCGGAGGGTATTGACTGTAGAGGCAGTACTTGAGGTGGGGAGGCTCGGGATGATAGTGTTGGCGAAGGCGAAGCCTGCGCTCGGTTCGGTAGGACCATTGCATGACCAAAGTGTTGCGGCGGTATCGCATGAGGCATAGGCTGAGAAGGCACAGAACGAGGCACAGGAGGTGGTGCCAGTGGTTGTTGAGCCCATTGTGTTGTCCGCGGGTCGACGCCGAAGTCGAAACGACCAGAGTCACGATCGGCTTGGGGTGACGGAGCAGCCTGTGGGCTCGTAGGCGGTCGAGGCCAGGCCTCTGGACTGCTGGGTATCGGTGCGTTAGATTCTCCGGCTGAACCCGACCTGACTCTTGCGCCCTTCGTGGAAGGCTGCTTATTTGGCCAGAGGGACTGTTGTTGAGACTCCTTGCTGGGAACCGATGTTGCAGGTCGCACTGGATGGGTTGATGTCTTGGATGATTGAGAACCTGTGCGCGCTGTTCGAGGGAGAGGGGGTAGCGGAGGGAAAACGGTCGGCCGCGGCAGCTCCTTGGTCGGCTCGATGACCATTCCTCTGACTGCTTCCATTATCGTGAGCGCAAGAGACTTCGCAGCAGCCTGGAGCTCCTTGAATTTGGCCTCGTCGAAAGAGTCGACCTCGATATAATCCTCAAAGTCGTAAAGCATGCCGTCTAAGGCTCGCTGTTTGTCCTTGACCTCGCCTAGCAATCGTCAGCTCCGGTTATCCTGTCTCCTGGCCATTCACTGCGTTCGAAAATGAAAGATTCACCAACCATCTCGTGTCATTAGGTCTTTGAGCGCATCACCAAACTCGGGTGTCTGATCCTTAACCATGGGGACTAGTCTTTTCATAGCCCTCTCGCCCTCCTTGACGAGGGCCTGCCCCGCCTTAAGCATCCTCCAGCTCACATCCTCATCTTCGTCAGAGACATCCTCAGCCTGCGCGATGGCTTCGTTGCCGCGCTCAATGATTTCGCTGAAAGGGCGCGTGACCAGTTGCTCTGTTTGGATTGCCATCGTGGTCGGTAGCAGCTCGGGCGGACTCCCCGTCCCTAGCACTAGTTGTTCAGTGGTCGATTGACTCCGCGGACTGATTATCGGGTAAGAGCAGTCTGTCTGTCGCGACGGTCCTGCGATGAACGTGGTCCACCAGAATCGTGGGGTAGACAGGCGATGTTCGTGTAGAAGTGGACAGGCCCCTCGTCCGGTCGTCCCCTAGGTCGTGAACAGGCAATGAAGAAGTGATGTGTCGTAAACTGACGGCAAGGAAACACAAGGACCTTGGGTCGCGAGACCAGGCAAGGCCATTTTTTTTATTAATCGGTTGTCCTCCGTGTCACTCTGCCCCCCCATCCATCCAACACCTACAAGTAGCCGCTCCCGCAGGTGCGCCATCCAATATCCTGGCCACTTGGCCCTTGACCTCGCCCCCGACCTCGGCCAAGAACGACATATGGGGCACGAGTGGCCGATGCTTCAGGTATGGATCCGGAAGGTGAAAAGACGTCTCCCCGGCTAGTGAGCCGGAGGGGTGGCACGCTAAGGCTTGACAGTGGTCGAATTCGCAGCATGGGAAGATAACGCCTCGCCTGACATCGTTTGATGGTGGAAAAGAGCCAAGGCTCAAGGGTGTTGGCCTCACCGGTGTCAGGTCAAGGGTCGTAGGGCCAACTGGTCCCAATCCTGTACGGTTTCGCTGAGGTTTCTCAGTCGACGGACTGACGGGACGATCCTTGTCTGACTTCTTAGCGCGCCATGGAGACTAATCCTGATTGAGCTCACGAGGCAGGACGTTTGAGGGTGTTACTGAGGACAGGTACAAGAGAAATCCAACGCCAACGCTATCATTGTCGCGACCGCGCTTGTTCTTGACTGCCAACTCACCGAAAGGGATGTTGCTTGTGGCAGGCCCGAATGCCTGGACCAACAGTCCGTAGATGCCTGGCGCCGATTGTATGTAGGCTTGCGCAGCGAGTAAGTTGCTTGTATAGTCTGGCGCTCCAGAAATTAGTTCTCCCTTGTCGATGGTATGGACGGACCGAAAGAGATTGGTAGCGCATGCCCTGTCCTGAGTTTGGCGTAACAAGCGTCGTCCAACGAGCACCCAAGTACCCGTGCCGCTCGGCCTGATCAAGTCATCTTGACTGGCACCTTGGCATCAAATCTCTTTGCTTATTTTATTCGCATCTGAACCAAGCCCCTGTTCTGCGATGGGTACAGTACTTGTATACGGGCTGATGCAACCAAGGACAACGTGGCTGCCCAGACTGTGTACATGTACTACGCATTCTTCAATCCTTCCACGATCCCTTCCATTGGCTCACACCATCAGCCAGCCACTTTCAGTCACTTGTCCAATTGCCTCGAAAGGATCACGAAGCGGGCCGGCTGGCAGGGTTCCCTGGTATCATGTCCTGCATGTGATCCTAGCAATGTGAAAGCGTGGAGGGGTGCCAGGGGTCGTTACTCGGCACGTCAGCGACCTGGCTCCCCATAGCCCCGCCTAGACTTGTTCTACCCAGTAGCTCCAGCGTTCGTGAGGAGCCTTCGGAGCCTACCAGTCAAGCCAGTCTGCGGAATAACTCGTCGCTCCCCGTAATCTTCCCAAGCGGTCCACTGGGTGATTGGGCCCCGCAAGCACCTCATTGCCAGATCCCTGTTAAACCCTGAGGTCACAGTGAATAGCGTATGTGACTACCCCACGGTAACTCCGGGGTCGGACGCATGCCACTTTTGGGGACAGTTCGGGCTGAAGTCCAGGGTTGAGCTGCGTACTTGTTAGAAGGATTGCTGTACTCGCCCCGTTTTGCGCTGGAGCTCATTCAGCAGGTCGTTTTCGCCGTTGGGCTGAATGCGATAAGATCCCGGATAGTAACTGACGCTGGAATTTTAGGCAGCATGCCAGTCCTGCGAGGCATAATTGTGATCACTGCTCCCTGCCAACCTGAGGAGCTCAATCGCTCAGCGTGAAACCGTCTGTATTAATGCAAGCCTTTCACGGAGAAAACTCAAAGATCAAGATGTTTCCTTATCTGTGCTATCTGATTCCTGATGGCTAGGAATTGCAAAGCGAGCGGCTGTCTGAAAACCCGAAAGAATTGGATCGCGACATCCAGCTTCGGACGTTTGTGCCAGCTTGATGAAAATCGAAAGATCAAAGAATGATGCTGCAAGCCTGGAACCCTGCATCATACGCCCGGTGATACCCCGAAATTTGAGTTCGGTTCCGCCTATGTGCTGTCTTGCCCCTCGTCGTCAGTGTCCATGGCTTCGTCATCTGAGCCATCGTCATCAGCCGCCGAATCACCCCCGAGGCTCACGGCGTCTTCCGCATCAAATTCTTCCGGAGTCTCTGAATTGGTACTGTCTTCGACGTGGAGCTCTCTTCCGGAGTTCCAATCGGCTTGCCACTTCACTGTCAGCTTCCTTGCCTCTGTCTTGACTTTCAGCTGTCTGTCTCGGTCACAGACTTCGTCAGAATCTCCGATGAGAATATTCTCAAAGAGAGCGTGCAAGTGCCGTTCAACGGCTGTGATGGCTTTTTGGCTGATCTTGTCGAACTTTTCCGGCAATCGCTGCTTGCTGAGCCTCAATCTCTTCTCCATCACGACAAGGGCTCTGTGGAACATCTTTTCACCCTGGCGAGCTCCCTCAGCTTTGATGAAGTCCTTCCTTGATTTGAAGCACCCCGGTCCTACGCATTTGTCAGTGTTCATCAATGAATAGTCAGGATACGTCTGATCCGACCTGTATGGTTGAGTGCTTTATGGCAAATTGGAGCAATTGAGTTTTGGAGACTCAGCAAAAGCCGTGGGTGAGTCGAGGCAGCATCTTTGGATACCAGATCTAGAGCCATGCGAATCTCATCGCGAATAATATCTTTGATCGGGTCAAAGGCCTGCAGGCTGCGTTCTACTGGGCTAGCCAAGTCAGCGTTCAGAGCCTTCAGACTATAAAGAATTTCTCGGATATAGTTATGCCACACGACCTCGACGCGCTCCATCATGGGGCGAAGCAAAGCGGGGAGGTCTTGGTTCATTGCCTGGTCCCAATCCTGCACCAGGAGCTGGAGCATTGGTTTGCCGCTAAATTGGAGGGTGAGCACGAAGTTACGGTGTTTGCGTATTAGTACTTACAGACTCTGCACCCAAGCATAATTGATTTTGGATTTTGGGCTCGTATAGCTGGCGCCATCCCTCCTCAGAATGGCATTGTGGGTCATGTAATGCATAGCGTTTGTGCATGTAAGGTCGTCGGGTTTCATGAGATGCCATCGACCTATGACTCTCCGAACCTTGGCAGCACAGGCTCGAAGAATACCGTCCTTATTGTGCAGAGGGTCAATACGACCAATGTCGTCTTCAAAAGAAGACAGCTCAAACCGAAGGGACTGATGCCAGATTAGCAAGTCAAGCGAACTGTAGATAGAAGTTAGGCTTACATCTAGATTGTTATTGTGAACTGTTTGTAGTGCTTCGTCGATGTCTTGTTTCGTGAAGACGATATTGGCTTCCTCGTCTTCGTCCTGCGACCACTGGCGGATCCAGTTCAATAGCTTTGAATAGTTGTTCAAAACGGTATCGAGGTGTTCTTCGCGAGTCCCAGCGGTGGACTCCCAAAGCCATTGCTTTGCTCGGGGGATCCCGGTGTAGGCCTCGCGAGGAAATCCGGGAATGGGGGATTCGTCATTCCTCAACCGCCAGAATGCTAACGAGCTGACAGCGATCACCTCAACAAGAAGTTCAGGACTTTCTTGCTGTTGAATTTTCCTGGAGCCATAAAATCTCTTTTGTCGGACCCTAAAGTCGGCCTGAATTCGTGACTGAACGAAGTCGTTCCTGGTTCGGGTGCAAAGATAAGCAAGTTTTGACTCCATATAAGCTTGGGATCTGGTTTTCCGAGCTGTCTGCTCGGTAAGGTGCATGATCTTCTTGCGTGATTCTTCCAAACCCCGCTTGGCCTCAGACTTCGCAGATTTGAGGACCCGGAGTTCCTGCTTGAGAGCCTCTTGTTGCCCTGGAACGACATTAATATTGAACTCCACGGTGTGATTCGAGTAGCACTTCAGGCCCAAGAAGTATGTAGAAACTTACTAGGTCTGACCTTATGGAGCCGTTTCACCATACGGTCTACCTGACTCTTGGCTTTCGTAACCCTTTTCTTCTTCTTTTTGAGTGCGTCCTCTTCGAGTTTTGCCTCATTCTTGAGGGCCTTGATTTCAGCCACTAACGCTTTGGATTGGGTGTGGATGACCATTGTCTCGGGTTGTTTCTGTATCTCTTTCGAGCGCGCGAGTTGACCACGGATATTGATGTCGTCGGCCTTTGTGAGAACAAACCCAAAGCCCTTGCTGTGGTATCGGCCGTCCATCTGAAGTCGTAACTCTTGTTGGTCACCAAGAAGAGAGTGGGCCGTCATCTCATCAGCAGCGCGAATAACTGGGGCTACAATGATCGTCACTGACAGCTTTTCATAGAATTGCTGAGCCACTGCTGCTCGGCTCTGCACCATGTCCCCCAGCCCAGGGAGGTCCACTAGGCTAATTCCGTTCTTCAGAATATCAACGCGAAGGAATTGGCGGACTTGTTTGACCAGAGGCCAAGCTGCAAATTGCTTCCCTTCTTTCCCGTGGTTGTGGATCGTAGAGTCCAAGTATGGGCGAACCTGCCGAGACAGCTTCTCAGGGTCCGAGTCGTGCAGGCTTTTTGTCGTCCCGAGAAGTCTGAGTACGTCTCTGTTGGACTCCATCAAGCTCTCAGCAGTCATTCCCCGAAAGTCCTCGAGGGAGAGATCAGTTCCCCAGACAGCTTGTGCCTTGCTAAGGACGTCGTCGATGACTGCTCGCGCTTCAGCTTGGTCCTGGATCCTCGCATCCTCGTCATCATCGTGGCGGTTTTCAATTTCCTCGAGACAAGACAAAGCTTGGAAGAGCATTCCCACTTGTTGTTCAATTTCCGCGTAGCTGTGAAAGTCAACCTCGGCGCGGTACTCAAAGCCAGCTCGCATGTCATGGTTCCAGGAGACCTGGCACACAACTGCGGTAGCTGCCTGCTCACAGCTTGAAGGAAGGAACTCATGAATGCCGAAGCTCGAAGGAGTGACGTTTGCTTTCTGCTTCGCCTGCAGTTACCATTCTTGTATCAGTTATTTGACTGTCGTAAAGGGAGAGTTTAGTTCGAATCAACTTACGCATCTCTTGGGCCCAGTTTTTCAGCTCCGCCAGACCTGTAATTCCATCTTGTTTAGCCACCTCATTGCTCGCCAGGGCATCGTTGATCAGAGGCGCCAACTCATTGAGATATACCCCAGCGTCGATGACGGCCTGTTCTTTAATAAGCAGTCTTTCCATGACTGGACACTCCTCGCAGTTGAACCATGTCACGTTTTCATTGTGACTGGATTGAATAGGTTTCAAGCTGGTGGGTTTGCTATCTTCAGTACGAGACAGCTGAGACATGTTGAGCTGCAGTGTACCTGAAAGGCACCAACTTCGGGGGCGGAGCGATCAGGTGCCGCCAGACAGCACTGCGGAAGATAGTATACGAACGAAGATATATGTTGGTGAAGTAGATTGAAGATTGAAATGAAGCAGAGGTCGAAAGATCAGGTGGGAGGTTGAGATGGGTTGGAGAATATAAATAGGAGTGACTGGATGGTGCAAAAGGCAGTGACCTAAAGAGCAGCAACAGGAAAGACCCTTGAAAGTTCCAAGTGATACATCTGAATCTATGAATCAGGATGGAAGCCCACGCGATTTCCCTTGGATTGCCGCAACTGCTCTCTCGATTTAAAACGAGGGACACCAGATTGGAATTTTTTTTTTTTTGACAGGGCATACACGTAATGCAATCAAACCAGTTTGTTTTGTTCATTCAACTCGAGAGCTGCCGAACCCCAGCTGTTATACGCATCAAAGAAGAACGTCCCGTCGACTATAAGGGCAAAACACAAAGTTGGAGCCGCCGCGGATTGAACACGGGACCTTCTGTAGATATGCTTCTCAATTGAAGCTATGCAAAACAGACGCGCTACCACTGCGCCACGACCCCACATACGAATCGTCAAGGAATTAGCAGTCAAGTAGACCGTACTCCAGTGCTGAGTTCCGCAAGCCAGAACGGCGCCGTCACTTTACAAGGTTTCTGAAAGTCTTCTCGTCATCATCAATTTCTTATTCAAGTTCTTTGATGAGTTTATTTCCGAAAGCTTTCTAGTAGGAGTCTCCTTTTGACTTCGTTCCTCTCGTTGAATTGCTATCATGAAAAGTTGGCTCACGCCACTTAGAAGACAATCAAGCGCCTCGGACTCGGTGAGAAGACGTTTACTTGCCGGTTGCCCCCTGTTACATTCTCTTCTGCCATCGCGATCAGTCAAACATTGTGTAAATTTCCTACAGGGCTCCGATTTCTGCTTCGCAAGAGGATAGACAGATCCAACTTCCCTGACACGTAGGCGGGCACTGTTCTGAAAGCAGCTGATGCGCGCGCAAAGTGGCAGCTGGTGAAAGGCTGATGAATCATTGCGCATTGAGACCATTCAGCTGCAAATCCGACAGCGACAGTGGAACCCATTCGTGAATCTCAAGCGTGAGCAGGCTTAGGGGGGTCTCGTTCCCGGCGTGACGGCCCAACTTCTGGGATCCGAACCGCACGTAGTACCTACGCGAATCATTGGCCACCTTGGCACTCCAGCGCCTTTGCGGTTGCCAGACTTCCTCAGGTATCGTCTCCTGACTGACTGGGGATTATGCACCTCGAAGCATGTACCCCCAATGTGTTTTCTCTACCTACTGACCAAAGCACTGTAACGAAGTCTCGGTTCTGGGTACTAGTTCGCTATACATCACAGGGTGTTAGGCATGTATTGGCTTGCATCAGCACGCAGTTCCTTGTAAGACAACATCTGAATAAATTGTGAACATCCTGTCTCTTTTTCTTTGAACAGTGGCTTTCTTACCGACTGTCAATTTCTCTCCCACAGGGTACCTTTTTTGGGTGGGTAATTCAACTTATCGGTGGAATCATCGGGATGTATTGTTCTCCGCTATCATTACCTGATTGCACCGTGCTTTAACTTTCCGACGATGTCAGCACGAGTGTGGATCGGGGTGCCGTCCAACTCACCAGACATGGCGGTCATGTGAGGTGGGATGTCGTGCTTGCGGAAAGTTTTGCACTGATCTTTTCACACTGCTGCCCAAGTTTCTCTCAAATCCTCCCCAAACGTGTTTCTCGTTGCTCATGGGTGCTTTGCGACTTCTTTCGCAAAGACCCTCGCACAAGAAACAGCGTCTGAGGCATGCCTTCCGTGAGCACATATGCTGCAGATGCGGTGCGTCATGGACAAAACGCTAGAGTCGCAGTAGTGCCATAACTGTACATCCCAAGCGACATCCAACCATTCATAGTAACTAGGAATTACGATTTGCAATCTGTGTCAAGCTTCTGGGGTAAACCAGCATGACGCCCCTCTTGGGTCACTTCCCCACACCGAGAGAGCCATGGCATCCCCTCAAAGGCCCCCGGACGCCAAGCCGGAGAGGCATCAGCGGCCCAGAACGTGCCGAGCTCGCGACGCCTTATCTCCAAGAAACTCCAATGGCACATCTGAAGGACGCTCTGACGAAATCCCCAAATCCCCCACCCCCTCGGATTCGGCGGTCAAATCTGTCGCCGTTCACCCCGCGAAGTCTGGGGTCCACTTCCCCGCCTTCACCACCACGCCTCAGCATCCCCGGGTTCCAAATGTGCCCCCGTAAAGTCTGGAACTCACGGCACGTTGTTACCCCAGGTTTGAGAAGATCAGCACTGACATTAGTCGTAAAATCCTGGTTTGTGAGCATCAAAAACATAGAGATTGCGGCACGGGAGATATAAAGTCGGTTGTCAAGTCGCACACCACTACCGCTTCAGTCTCAATCCTGCAACAGCAGCCTGTCTCTCCATTGTAACTTCTTCACCGAGACGAGACATGCACCGTCAGGAAGACAACATACACAGAAACAAGCAACTCGAGATGACGACCCCTCAGGAGAAGCGTGCCTCGCGGGAGGAGCACATCGACCATGTGCGCAGCAACATCGACGACGATGGCGAGAAGCAAGTCTTTGCTGAAGAGGGCGAGGTCGATTACACGGGAACAGCAAAGAAGACGGATCCAGAGGAGATTCGTTTGGTGAAGAAGCTTGACTATCGCATCATGGTACGTGGAGCGTGGTGGTCACTCGTTCATTTCCTGACAAAGCGCTGACCGCGAAAATGTCGACAGCCCACACTCTGTGTGATGTACTTTTTAAACTACGTCGATCGCAACGCCATTGCACAAGCACGTCTCAACGGTCTCGAAGACGACCTCAAGATGACGGGAACAGATTTTAACACGGCCGTGTCCATGTGAGTATTCAACGAGGACAGCAACGCTGGGGCATTCCCGAAGCTGACTCGGCTGCAGTCTGTTTGTGGGCTATGTCCTCATGCAGATCCCTTCCAACATGTTGATCACAAAGGTGAATCCTGGAATTTACATGAGCTCTTGGATGGTTGTGTGGGCTGCTGTGTCCGGTACGTTGGCGTGTGGCATCTGGCGTGGCCTGCGACTCTGAACCCTTGAGGATCCACACTGACGGTCGTGACTCCGTAGCTTGCACCGCTCTCGTCAACAACTTTGCTGGCCTCGTAGCATGCCGTTTCTTCCTGGGAATCACCGAAGCTCCTGTGAGTACAGCTCGGCGCTGAATCGAAGACTCTTCTGACCTCTGGCACAGTTCTATCCCGGTGCCACATACATGCTTTCGATCTTCTATACCCGCAAAGGTGAGTCCTCCAACCATGACAAGGAAGCCCTTGCCGCTTGCTGACTGGGCCGCACAGAGGTCGCAACCCGCATCGCTGTTCTGTACTGCGCTCAGATCCTGGCCACCGGCTTCTCCGGCCTCATCGCAGCTGGTGTCTTCGAGGGCCTAGATGACGTTCGCGGTCTCGAGGGATGGCGCTGGCTCTTCCTCCTCGAGGGTGTCGTCACAGCTCTCGTGGCGGTGCTCGGATTCTGGCTCCTCCCCAACACGCCCCTCACGACGCACTGGCTGAGCGAACGCGAGAAGGAGCTCGCACACGCCCGCATGGAGAAGGACAAGCTCACCGACTCGCTGGGCCAGGCGTCTGCCGTCGAGGGCCTCAAGCAGGCGTGCCGGGACAAGCGCACATGGCTCTTTGTGCTGATGCAGTGCTTCCACCTCTCCGCCTGCTCCTTCAACAGCTTCTTCCCCACGTACGTATCACTCTCTTCCGTCGAAAAATACTGGTGGTGGGTCTAACATTCTGGCGACCAGCGTCATCAAGACACTCGGCTTCAACACGACCGTCACGCTCGTCATGACGTGCCCGCCCTTCATCTTCGCAGGCGCCGCCGGCATCTTCTTCGGCTGGAGCTCGGGCCGGCTCCACGAGCGCACATGGCACATCACGGCGGGCCTTACCTTTGCCGTCGCAGGCTTCGCCCTCGCCGCCGCGTCGCTCAACACGGCCGCGCGCTACGTCGCGTGCTTCATCTTCGCGGCCGGCGCGTACTCGGTCAACAGCGTCATCATCGGCTGGGCGTCGTCGACGCTGGGCCAGACCAAGGAGAAGAAGGCCGTCGTGCTGGCCATGACCAACGTCGGCGGCCAGATTGGCTACATCTACGGCGCGTACCTCTGGCCCAAGTCCGACTCGCCGCGCTACGCCATTGGCTTTGGCGCCTCGGCCGCGTTTGCCTTTGGTTCCATTGTGTGTGCGTGGATCATTCGCGTGCTGCTCATCCGCGAGAACAAGAGGATTCGTGCTTCTGGCGCCGACCACGGCAATCTTTACGGGTACTAGGCGCGGTACGGGGAGGAAGCTGCACGGGGACGGCGTATGAAAGGCGTAGGGGCGTACAACATGGCTGGCATGAGCCGGCTTCATAAAGACTGTATGTAGAATGGCTTTCGGCGCAAACAGGGGGTTCGTCAAGGTTTTGACACGGGCATGAAATCAACTATTTTTGAAATCATCATCTTTTGAATCATCATCTTTCAATCATCATCTTCAAAATTGCCATCCTTAAAATTACCATCTTTCAAATCATCAGAAGCATGAGTTTGTGCACGATGCTTGTCTTAAAAATACTCAGAGTCGAATGATGTATTGTACGGCAACCAAGCTTGGCTTACGCAGAAATCCAACAGACAGCCCAACTCCACCAGTACACGCGCACTCACGTCTGGCGTTTCTTGATCCGAGGAAAGGCAAGCCATACGCCGGCGACGACGATAATGAGCGCGAGAATGATGGGCTGCAGCACGAGCAGACCGCGCTTCGCTGCAATGGCACCAATGGCAAAGGGGAAGACGGTGCCGCCGGTGCCGCCCATAGCCATGGCGAAGCCGATGGCGCTGACGTGGATGTCCTTGGGCAGTAGCTTGGCGGTGACGGTGACGGCGCCGGGGAACATGGGCCCGAGGAAGAAGCCGAGGAAGGCGACGGCGACGGCGGAGACCTCGAAGCGCGGCACGAGCCAGAAGAGCAGCTGCAGCGCGATGCAGCAGACGAGGTAGATGCTGATGCAGAGGCGCTCGCCGAAGCGCTCAGTCACGAAACCCAGACCGGCGCGGCCAGCGACCATGCCGGCCCAGAAGCCGGAGCCGGAGATACCGGATGCGTAGGCGCCGGCCTCACGCACGCGCAGCATGAAGGTGACGACCCAGCCGCCGAGGCCGACCTCGACGCCCATGTAGGTGAAGAAGAAGAGGGCGCACATCCAGGTGACCTTGCTCTTGAGGGCGTCCTTGGTGCCAGCGCCCTGGGCGCCGTCCTGGCGCGGGTGCTCGGCGCGGTAGACGGCGCCCGTCTTGTGCCAGAAGGTGATGGTGAGGCCGACCCACTCGAGCACGGAGATGGCGATCATGATGTAGTAAAAGGTGTACCACGGCAGGCCGGCCTTGACGACCATGGAGGTGGCGATGAGCGGGGCAAAGAGGGCACCGAGGGAGTAGCAGGCGTGCATGAAGCCCTGGACCTGGTTGGCCTTGTCCATGTCGCCGACCCAGGCGCAGTAGCAGGCATCGGTGAGGCCGTTGCCGAAGCCGGAGATGGCGTAGATGACGACGATGACGGGGAAGGGCGGGTGTGTGGCGACGACGGCGTAGGTGACGATGTGGCACAGCGGAGCCATGACAGCGACGCCGCGCTGGCCGTACTTCATGTGGATGCGTGCATTGGTAAAGGCAGCGACTGAGTAGCCGGCAAAAGGGGTCAAGAAGACGAGCGACACGATCGTGTAGTTGAGGTCGTAGTATTGTTCAAGCTGTCGTCTGTCAGCAGGCCGTCAGGAGGGGTGGACTCGTGCCATGACATACGTAAGGAATGAGAGCCTAGCCAATGTTAGCGGCTTTCATCAGGAGGAGAGTCGAGGTTGAACCCACACCAACGGCCGCGTCGTTGAGGCCGGCAATGATGAAGGACAGAAAGGCGAAAGCCAGCTTGGGCACGTTGCCGCGAGGGTGGTTCCATCGCTGGACTTCACCATGGGCAACATGTCCTGGCGGCGGGCCTGCACCATCGGCGTCTCCGACCTCTTCTGAAGAAGTCCTTCGCGGGTCCTGCGGCGCTGACCCGAGACGTGTAATGTCCTTGCCGACAGACTGGCCGGTGCCCATGCGCTGGAGCTCGATGCCTTCAGCAGCCATGGGTGATGAGGGGCTGTTGGACTTGCCACCCACAGACAAGGCCGTGGCAGGGCGCGTGATTGTCGCAGTCTGAGACATGGCTGCTGGTTCGGACAGGACAGACACGATGGCTGGTGAAGCAATCCCAACTGGGTGGCAGTCGAGAAGAAGGTCGAGATCAAGCACAGAGATGTGAGGTCGACCTTGACCTGCTTTTCAACAATTCTCCTACTGACAAGGCGGTTTTGACAAGGTTGGATGCGGGGGGGGGCAAGAACGACCAGACGAATCGGAGGCACGGCGGAGAGCGGGGCAGCCCGAACCAGAAGTCCGCCTTCCGCCCGGTGTGACATGGCAAGATGGGCAGGCGACACTCCGCGATCCTGACGCTTATGGAAGCTGTGCTCGGTCATGGCCCGCGCCAATCAAGAGCCACGAATACCGATGAGTGGGTTTCCGCTTTCCCGCCGTCGGCTACCTACCTAGGTACCTCGCAATAGTTACCTACCTACCGAAGGTAGGAACCCACCACAGGTAGATTGCCGTCTTTGGGTCTTCGTAGATGGGCAAGGCCTCCAGAAAATCTCCTGGCCTGGCATCGTTTGCCGAAAGACACACATGTTGCACGTGTGCTGCACCGTTGTCGATGGCGCTTGTGCGGGCCGAGTAAAGCGCATGAGACTCGGCCCTCTCAGGTGGTAGAGACGATGACCTGCCAGGCAGTACCCAGAACAACTCACGGAGAGTCTATTTCTCGTGAGCATCACAGAATTGGCAAGAGGGTATAAACTGATCCCGAACGACTTAACATTTTCCAGTCATCTATAATAAAAAACACGGTACATGCATCGAGCCAATGGACAACATTACTCCCGTACAAACACGCCCGCCATGCCCATGCCTGTGCCGACACACATGCTCACGACACCGACATCGCCGCCCGTCCTCCCAAGGCCGTGCAGAAGCGTGCTCGCCATCCTGGCCCCCGTCGCACCGAGCGGGTGGCCCAGCGCAATGGCGCCGCCGTCGGGGTTGACGCGGCCGTCCTGCCACGCCTTCTCGAGCCCCAGCGCGCGCACGCTGTAGATGGCCTGGCTCGCGAACGCCTCGTTGATCTCCCACCGGTCGACGTCCTCGGTCGTAAGGCCCAGCTGGCCGAGGATCTTGGGGATCGCCAGCACGGGGCCGATGCCCATCTCGTCGGGCGCGCAACCCGACGTCGTGGCGCCGACAAACTTGCCGAGAATGCTGCCCGAGAGGCCCAGCGCCGTCGCCGTGCTCCGCCGCATCAGCAGCGTCGCCGCCGCGCCGTCCGACACCTGGGACGAGTTGCCCGCCGTGCTGGCGCCGTCGGGCTTGAAGGCGGGCTTCAGCTTGGCGAGGCCCTCGACCGAGGCGCCGGCGCGGATGCCGTCGTCCTGCGTCACCGTCACCTGCTGCTCGTCGCCGACCTTGTTGCCCTGCTTGTCGACGTCCTGGAAGCGCGTCGCCACGGGCACAATCTCCTGCGCAAAGGCGCCGTCGGCGCGGGCCCTGGCGGCGCGGCGGTGGCTCTCGACGGCAAAGGCGTCCTGGTCGGCGCGCGACACGCCGTAGCGCGCGGCGACGTTCTCCGACGTCAGGCCCATGGGCATGATGCAGTCGCGCGCGTCCTTGACGTCGGACGCCTTGAGGGCGGGCCACAGGTCGACGGGGATGGCCTTGCTGCCGTAGTTGCGCGTCATGCTCTCCATGCCGGCGCCGATGCCGACCGAGATGACGTCGGTGCGGATCTGCGCCGCGACGAGCGCAATGGACTGCAGCGACGACGAGCAGGCGCGGTTGACGGTGTAGAGGGTCGTCGTGCTCGGGTAGCCGACGTGGTTGAGGGCCATCTTGGCGGCCTTGGAGCCGCCGAGCTCCGAGAGGACGACGCCGACGGCGACCTCTTCGATGGCGGCCGGGTCGAGGTTGGGGTTCGCGTCGAGCGTGGCGCGCAGCACCACCGAGAGGAGCTCTTCGGGGTAGGCATCCTTGAGCTGACCTCGGTAGGATCGGCAAATCGGCGTCCGCAGGGACGACAGAATGACAACGTCCGAGGGGCTCTTTTTGAGGACCGACGAGAGGCCGCGTGGGAGAGACATGGTGGGCGTTTGGCTGGCGGGTCTGTCGAGGAAGAAGGACGGGAATCCAAGGGCTTTCGATAATGCCAATCGATCAAATATAGTCAATCAATCGAATGGAGGGGTATCTTGGAGCAGAAAAGAAGAATAAACAGAAAGAGAAACGCCCTGCGCTCGAGATGCACACTGCCGGAAGCTCAGGAAGATGCCGGTCTCGGGTCCTCGAGAGCATCGGCAATGGAGGAAGAACGCTTTTCCCCAATGGGTGACGTCCAGACTGTGGGGGAAGGGCCCACCGAGCATCTTCGGCAGTAGATCGCGGGTCGCGCCTGCTGATGTAGAGTGCCGTACCTGCTCTGCTCTATTCGTACGGATACGGTGCGATATGCTCCACGGCACCTTCCAACAACCACGGCACCTTCCAACAATCCTCCAACACCAGCATGATGCTTTCCCAACGACTGCAGCCAGTCTTCCGAACTTTGTCAGGATTCCATCGTCCGACCTTTCCATCGTCCGACCTTTCCATCGTCCGACTTAGTTTCATATCAATCGATCACCTCGGATGGCATTCACAAATGGTCAAGCAGGACACCTTCAGCTGCGAAAGCACGACGATGCCAAGAGTGCCCATGCGCGGATTGACATTCTTCCGCCGTGTCGTCACGACCACTCTTGCGATTCTCTCGTGACAGATGACTCATTCTAAACAGACTGCAAAGCCGGGAGACGGTGTCGCGTCATCCTCCCCCATTCCTCCAGAGATGTCAGCTCCGCCGGCAGTTCTTCCAACACTGGTCCCATGTCAACCTTGAAGGGCTTCTCGGGCGCTTCGTTGTAATACGTGTACGCCGTGTGCATCTGCTTCATGATCCTCTCCGTGTCCAGCCCCGCCCGTTCCTTCATGGCCGCGCTGATCTTGTCGCAAAAGTCATCGACCGTCTGATTCTCATAGCCCATGGGCCGCTCCCACGCCCGCGACAGCTTGTCCGCCAGCTGAGCCAGACAGACCGTCTCGGGCCCGCCGACGGCAAAGTTGCGCCCCGCGAGCTCCGGTCGCTCCATGGCGGCAATCATGAGGCGGGCGACGTCGCCATGACAGATCCACGACACCTCGAGGTCGGGCCTGTGACAGTACACAATGGTCGACCGCTCAGCAATCGGGGGGTATGCCCATCCTTCGAGGAGATTGTCGAGAAAGACCACTGGCTGTATGCAGATGACGGGCAGGCCTGTCTCGCGAAGTATCCGGCGCATGTCGATGCGGTCGTCCTGGGACTTGATTCCACGCTTCGTGTCCGGAACTGGCATGCTCGTGTTGAAGACGAGGAGGCGAATGGTAGGACTTGATGATGCCGCTTTCCCGATGAGCTTGGCAGCAGCAATGACCGGTTCGGTGGCTTGAAATGAGGTCGACGGCAGGTTGAGGAAGACAACCTCGGCGTCCTTCAGAGATGCCTTGACGGCGTCTCCATCTGAAAAGTCGGCGGCGCATGTCTCGATTGGCTTGTCGTTAATGGCAAGCGGCTTTGGATTCCGGCTCACTGCAACAGGGTCGTGACCCGCTCGTGCGAGGGCCTCGACCTGAGCCGCGCCTTGCACACCCGACGCCCCAAAAACCACCACTTTGGTCATGATGGTGCAACTCAAGCAAAGCTATCAACCTGTCGTGAAAGGTGCAAAGAAAAGCATGGTTACCAAGCAGCACGTCGGTCGCTTTTGGCCACTCAGCTCAAATCGGTCCTTTCCTGCTTATTCAGGTACGCTCTGCATCTTGACCCGATGTTACCGCCGATCACGGACAAGATTTTCCGAACGTCTCGTGGCTACCCGTCCCGCTGAGTAGAGGGGCCCATTGAATCTAACATTTTCCTCTGGAATGCAGCCAATGGAGCCAGCTCCTACCGTTATCTTGGCGGCAGTGCCTGTTTGCTCGTTGTGACCCAGGGCATGCAATACTCATCAGCCTTGCAAGGCGACGCCATTTGGAGGCTGGTAATGGTGGGTTCGAGAGTCTACACCGGGAAACCTTTCGCGGGTAGCCGCTCACTGTACCGACGCTCCCCGCATGCTGGTTTAATGCCAAGCACCCCTGTAGTGCTGTGCAGACTAGGTCAGAAACGGCGATGCGGGGCCCCAGACCATGTCGTCGTTAGACAAGCCAGGTCAGAGACGGGATAAGCTGGTGAATAGATGTCATGCATTCAGGACGCCAGGGCAAGCCTGGACGATCACAAGCGGGCGGATGAGGCGAAGCGCCTCTCTGGAGTTGCCTCCCTGGAGAGCCATCTCCATCACACTTGGCCCGAGTTCCGATGGCGTGTCCCCAACGCAGAGGGCCATGACGATCTTAAGACCAAGCCTTTCACCACGCCTTTCGGGGAAGCGGGAGTAGCCCATCGCCAGAGCTAAGCCTTCAGTGAGGAAATGTGCTCCCGGAAAGCAAGCAGGCTCGGATCGCTGACTCAGCCACGGCGAGTGTAGCCTGGACGTTGCCTGAGATGTTTCTCTTACTAAAGGAGACCCGCGCCATCGCCATATCTCCAGCTCAACGATCTTGAATGGCAAACGCATCGGTGCCCTCTCAAGCGCCGTATTAGAGGATCCAGCTGTCCGTCATGGCTATCACGCCAGCACCGCACCAGACTTCCGACTCGGACGGCCTCGCCTACGATGCTGGTGAGAAGGAGATGCATCAGCAAATCGAGCATGCAAATACGTCCATGACACCAATGGACAACGGAGAGGATGGAAAGCTCACCAAGGAAACTATTCTGGCCTACATAGTAAGAATATCACTCCCGTCTTATACGAGAAACATTGCTAATTTGTATATTTCAGGCAATGTGCGGCCAGATCAACGCGTACATCATGTCCATGCTCATCCCAGCAACGACCCTTTCCTACATTAATGCCGAACTCGGACCAGACCCCAACTCGACGTGGATTACTCTGAACTGGACGTTCGGCGCCTCGATGATCGTCTCCATCGGCGGACGTCTCTCTGACATTTTCGGCCGCCGCTACTTCATGATGACAGGTGCTTTGATATCCATCTGCGCCTGCCTCGTCGGCGCGAACGGGCGTTCTATCAACCAGATGATCGCGTCAGGCGCGCTCTTCGGCATCGGCTCAGGGTTCCAAGAGCTTTGCTACGCCTGCGTGCAAGAGGCCGTGCCCAACCGCTACCGCGTCATGGCCGTCGGCGGCCTAGACGCCAGCTTGGCGCTCGCCTTCTCGAGTCCGCTCGTCAGCTACGCCTTCATTGCGCATCAGCACATTGGTTGGAGGGGCGCCTACTGGTATCTGTTTTCATTCCACTGCTTTGCGTTTTTGATGCTATTCTTCTTCTACAACCCTCCCGATTTCGAGATGAAGCATCGCGAAGATGGCGAGACGAAGTGGCAGCTGGTAAAGCAGATGGACTGGGTTGGTGTCTTTCTCTTTCTTTCAGGCGGTGCTCTGTTCTTGATCGGTGTCAACTTTGGCGGCCGCACCTATCCGTGGACGCATCCCGGGACGTTATGTCCGATCATCATAGGAGGATGCTGCTTTATTGCGGTTGGGTTGTGGTGCACATATGCGCCGTTGAGATATCCTCTCTTCCCACCAAAGCTGTTCAGGAGAGTGCGCGAGTACGTCTTTTCCCTCGTCCGTATAGGGCATGGCTGATAGCCTACAGGTTCGACATGGTCATCGTCGTCTGCTTCGTAGGCGGCATGCTCTACTACAGCATGAACGTGCTGTGGCCCCGCCAGTCACAGGCATTCTTTGTGCCCGAGGGCGACATCATCATGCGCGGGGTGTATGCCACCATCTTTTCCTGTGGCACTTGGAGTGCGTTGCCCCCGACCAGTATCCGTGGATTCGTTTGCTAACATCCCCAGCCGCCGGCCTCGTCGTCGTCTTCATCTGCTCCCGCCTGCACCACGAAAAGTGGCAGCTTGTAACCTTCACCATTGTCCAGACCGCCCTCATCGGCTCAATGGCCTCGGTCGGCGCCAACGACGAGGCCCAAGCCATAGTGACAGTGGTCCTGGCTGCCACGACCATCACCCCGCCTCAGCTGCTTTCATTCATCATGCTGTCATTTGGCCTCGAGGATCAGCGAGATCTGGGCGTTGCCGTTGGCCTCGCAGGCACGTTCCGCCTGTTTGGCGGTGCCGTGGCAACGGCGATCTATACAGCCATCTACACGAACCGCTTCAACGAGGTCCTCCCGGGGCAGTTAACGGCTGCGATTCAGGCCTCGGACGTTGAGTTCTTTGAAGGCCTGCTGCAGTCCATGATCAAGGCGGCGACACTCAACACACGCACAGCTTATGAGGCGGTTAGCGGGGCGACGCCAGATCTCGTGGATCGGGTCATCGAAGGGGCGCGCGAGTCCTATGTCCAAGGGTTCAGCTTGGTGTATCTCGTAGCGATAGCTTTTGGCGTGTGTGCTACCATTGCGGCGGCGTGTACAGTGAGCACGGACCGGAGCAAGAAGAACAACGACAGAGCCGTTGTCATGAAGGACGAAGTGCTGAAGAGGGATGCGATGCTGCAGAAGAAGACGGTGGCATAAGAGGCCTGGAATGCGATGGGAAAAATATAGATAAATTTAGTGGCACCTTCTCTACGTAATCGATTGAATTGGCTCCAGTGACTATGCGCGCACAATATGAGATACCGTCGGGTGCAAATTTGGGTTCTGCGGCCTTGCTTGACTCGTGGGGGCTTCGTCCTCGCAACACAACCTGCCTGCGATGAAGCAGCAGCCCCTCACATATACCCAATCATGCCAGTCAATTTTGACCGCGTAAGACAGTTCGATAGTCACTGCAACATAATGCAGACGGGTGTGGATGTGTGGATGATTGGCTTGAGCCTGCTGCAGCTGGAGATAGGAGACGGCCGCGGGAAACTCTTCGCCGCGGATGATGTCCTCCCCGCGGAAGATGACCGGCTTCACCACAGTCAACACTGGCGTACATTGCTTATAGACCTCATACCTCTGCCCAGTTTCCCGCGGACGCAATGTGAGATATAATGTCAGGCTTGAGGGGCAGATTGAGAGCTCCTGCCTATATAAACCCTCGATAGACACTTGCAAGTTGCTCATGACATTGTTATCGCTCCTCATCCTCCTCCTCCCCCTTCTCATCTTCCCTCAACATACACAATCCTCCACTGGCCAGTATGGGCTCCGCCATTGCCATGTCCGACGCCGTTGACCCGGCCACCTTCTGGCCCCTCGCCTCGAAGCACATCCTGTACACGGGCGTGCCTCCGTCCCCCTTCATCATCACCAAGACCAAAGGCACACGGCTCTACGACTCGACGGGGCGAGCGATCCTCGACTTCACGTCGGGCCAGATGTCGTCCCTGATCGGCCACGCGCACCCGGAGATCGCGGCCGTCATCAACCACCACGCCGCGAACCTCGACCACCTGCTGTCCAACATGCTGACGCAGCCGGTGCTGGACCTCGCGCAGGCGCTGGCGTCGCTGCTGCCGGCGCCGCTGACCAAGTCGTTCTTCCTGAGCACGGGGTCCGAGTCGACCGAGGCGGCCATCCGGCTGGCGCAGACGTACACGGGGCGGTTCGAGATTGTGGCCTTCTCGGCCTCGTACCACGGGCTCACGGCCGGCGCCGCGGCCGCGACCTACTCGACGGGCCGCCGCGGCGGCATCCCCAGCGCACCGGGCCACATTGCCTTTCCGGCGCCGTACGCCTACCGGTCGCCGTTCCGCCGCGCCGACGGCGCCTACGACTGGCGCGCCGAGCTCGACTACGGCTGGTCCCTCGTCGACAGGCAGTCGGTCGGGTCGCTGGCGGCCTTCATCCTGGAGCCCATCCTCAGCACGGGCGGCATCCTCGACCTGCCGCAGGGGTACCTCGCCGCGCTGGCCGAGGGGTGCCGCGCGCGGGGCATGCTGCTCATCTGCGACGAGGCGCAGACGGGCGTCGGCCGCACGGGCCGCATGTTCGCCTTTGAGCACGACGGCGGCGTCACGCCCGACATTCTGTGCCTGTCCAAGACGCTGGGCGCCGGCCTGCCGCTGGCGTCCGTGACGACGTCGGCCGAGATTGAGAGGGGCTGTCGCGCCAAGGGCTTCCTGTGGCTGACGACCCATCTCAACGACCCGCTGCCCGCCGCCGTCGGCGCCAAGGTCCTCGAGATTGTGCGCCGCGACGGCCTCTGCGCCGCCGCCGAGGCGAGGGGCCGCCAGCTGCGCGAGGGCCTGCTGCGCCTCCAGGACAAGTACTGGTGCGTCGGCGACGTGCGCGGCAAGGGCCTGCTGCAGGGCATTGAGATCATCTCAGATGCCGAGACCAAGGCGCCGGGGTCGGAACTCGGCCAGGCCGTGTCGGAGCGGGCCATGGAGAGGGGGTTGTCGTGCAACGTCGTGAATCTGCCGGGGATGGGTGGCGTGTTCCGCCTGGCACCGCCCGTGACTGTGACGGAGGACGAGATTGCCGAGGGCCTGGCTATCCTAGACGAGGCCTTTGAATATGTGCTGAACCAACAGAAGAAGCCATAGGTTGATAGGATATCGAGAGTGATAGAGCCTGATTCGTATAATGTCCAGTGGTGTCGCACCGTTCATCCGGCTGTGATGTCCATGATACGTGTTCACGATCAAATTGGCGCATGTGCTTGGCCTGGTTGTTCTTTAGAGTCAGCTGGAAGAGGCGTCCACACGTAGGTCCGCAGAACGACAGTCGGATTAGGCTTCTGGTTCCTCAGGGCCACATCAGCACAAGCACCACTGACTGCAACGCAGCCTGACGGCATTTCATCATCTTCATTCAGGCTATCACTCGAGACTCATCCTTGCCTCGTCGCCTATTCCCCATCCTGGACCGCCTTGTCCCTGCAGTGCCAAGTTGACCCGTCTGCCAACGTCATCCACGCCTGCCTCATCACCGCTCATGACCTCGCTCTCTCGCCTTCCCTTCTTTCTTTCTGGAGCACCTTCGACGGCCGTCGTACTCGTCGCTACCGAGGTAGACGACTGGCCCGTTCCTCGCCTTCGCAATGGCTTGCGGAAGAATGATCGACCCCCACCGGAAGACGACAGGGATGCCGGGGCCTGTTCGCTCGCCCCGTCTTCGGAGAATGGCGGTAGATTATGCGTCGATTGCGTTGGTGATACCATCTTCTCGGAAAGTGTGCTATAAACGTGTGTTGTTGGCTGAGATGCTGCTGTTGTCGCTGCCGCCGCCGCCGCTGCGAGCTCCTCCTCCGAGATCTCGACGAGCTCGGCATCGCGGTACCACTTTCGGCGCCGTGTCCACTTGCCCCAGCCATCTTCCCTGCGACGGCCTGCTTGCCACTGGTCTTTGTTAGTTCAGGTCCCAATCCGCTGGCCTCGGATACGTACCTTGTTGTCATAGTAAATCCAGCCATTCTTTCCGGCTTCTCCGTCAAAATCCGTCTCTTCAGCAACATCATCAGTCACGCCATCGACGCGCCAACGGCTTCCTGCAACCCATCGCCACCTCATCTTGCTGCCGTCCTCGACGTCAGGCAACTCAAAGACATCCTTTGCTGGGACGGAATTGTTATGCTCATCCGTCCATGCCGCACGCTCGTAGGCAAACAAACTCTGTGTCCAACCCAGACCGACCCATCGTCTCTGGTTCTCGTACAGGATAAAGGTAAATTTGACCCCAGCATCTCGTCCCGTGGCGTTGTTCCCGTGCTTGTGGCTCCTCTGACGGAGGGCTTTCGTCAGCTCGGAGGTCTGGCGATCAACCTTCGGCACAGGCCCATCGGCCGATGCCGTGACAACATCAGAGTCGGGCTGAGGCGTAAGCTTGCGATCGGGCTTTTCGAAGCGCAACCCCGTGACGAGAGCCACAGTCTTCCTCACAGTCGCGCTCCGCCAGAGAATGGTTCTGGCAACCTTGGCCACGCGCGCGTGCCATGTCAAGACGAGCGTGCCGAGCAGCAACACAACTCTTCTGGTCGTGATGATCCTCCAGGGCGGCAGAGTTAGGGCCCACCAGAAGGGCGTGCAGAACAGGATTCGCACAAACAGGGCCGTCAGCGCGGGTCTCGTCGTGGCACTGGTAGGCGTGCGCTGCGTGCTCAGAAAGTCCGTCAACTCAAGGGCCGGGCCCAGCAGCACGTTGCACCGTCCCGTGAACTCCTTCAACGTCTCGACAATCTCGTCCAACGTCTTCTGGTGGCGGGTGTGTGTGATCTCAGAGCCTGAGCGTGCATGTCCCTTCTGGTTTCTTGTCGGTTCGGGGTCGCGGTCATCCATCCAGCCGCTGCTGCTCAAAGGGCTGTAACGGCGGGAGTACATGGCGAGAATGAGGCCGAGGACGAGGACCAAGGGGCCGGCACTGCGGATGACGACATCGCCGTAGAGGACGATGGCCCACCAGGCACAGACGAGGAGGAAGCTCTCCCAGGGGTCACCCGTCGTCCAGCTCAGCAGCCCAACGGCCTTGTTCATGGGTAGGAGAAAAGAGTGCGAGTAGGCGAGGGCGCGCGTGATTTGTGGCGGCGTGGCCAGCAACAGGGGGCTTTTCTGGTGTACGAGAATGGTGGATCGACGAGAGGAGCGGGAGGGGACGGATGCCGACAGGGTGACGGGCGAGAAGGAGGCAAAGGTCGGAGGTGCGCCGGAGGGTGCCGAGTTCTGGGGATTGTCGTCGGCCATGGACGAGGCATCGTCGCCGCCTCGGGCGGGTTTTGGGGTCGCCATGTGGGAGAGCCAAGGCGTGTCCTAGCAAGTAGCGACGTTAACGGACCTGCCGTTGTCTGATGGCGTCAAGGTGGAGGTGGAGGAAGGTAAGTGGTAGTAGAAAGCGACGAGTCGTGCTGGCTCGCCTGGCGTACCCTGCGATGACGTGGGAAACGATATCGCACGGGACAGGTGGGTAGAGTTGGGGTACACCGAGGCAGGGTCCCACGCGCGGCGCGCAGATGCTTGTCAGCGCAGGGAGTCGCGCGTCGACCGTCGACCGTGTTTGGGGCGGGTGGGCACGGTGATGGGATGAATGGTGATGAAAGGGAGAGAAGAGTTGGGTGGGAAGTGGACGTGGGGATGGAGGCGGAGATGGGAATGGAATTTTTACTCACGAAGGCAGCCATGAAATCTCGCGACGCGGCTCCAGGAGGAAAGACAGAAAGACGGAAAGACAGCAGGAACGACCAGAGTCGGGCCTCGACTGACTGACGATCAGGCTGCGTCGGTGTGCCAGCTAGCGGTACCTCCGCTGTGGCTGTAGGGAGGTGAGTAAGGCAGGTAGCAGCACTGGCGCAGCGGTGGCAGCAGCACCCGCGACGCGACTGATGGCAGGCGAGATCGAACAGTCTGGCAAGTGCGTGCAGTTGGAAGGCCCTTCCCTTCGCTCCTCCAAGCGCAAGGGCAAGGTCAAGAACAGGTGCAGTTGCAGGCGCAGGTGCAGGTGCAGGTGCAGCGACAACGAACAGTGAAAAGCAGGCGCGACGATGTGGTCATAACGTCATCGCCCTGCTCCCCCAAAGGGAAAGAAAAAGAGGTCAAGTCGATCGATGGTGGTCCACCAAACCTCACGACTGCCGCCCCCGGAATGTTCGGCTTTGGCTGGCCAGGCCTTTGCGATTTGAGTCTTGGCGTCTTGTTGCGATGCGCGAGGAACCGCTCAATGTCAGCCGAATGGACGCTCAACTCTCAGACGAGATGCTCAGCGATAGAGGGGAGAGTCGTGGGCAGAGGAAGAAACGCAGAGCAAACGAAATAATGAATCTCCGTCACGCATTCCTCCCACACCTCGGGAGCATCCCAGCGTGCCCAGGCGCTGACTGATATGCTCCCCTCCACTGGAGCTCCCCCTGCTACAGCACCCCCGCCTTCTACGATCGGCCCCATCCTGTCGGCAACGCCGCGATCACATGCAAAAATCATCGTCCCTTATGCTCACGTGTCGCGTCAACACCATGATCGGACGTCACGAGACCAACATATGAGGCGTTGCACGTAGTCCAATGGCAATGTGATTCTGGCTGACGATGATCCCTTCAGTAGCGAATTCCAGCTGTTGATCACCATGGAAATCCCTCCAGCAAAAGTCCTGCCCAAGTCCTACGAACTGCCAAACTCCAATGCTTGAACACCTTGCTATGCTACCCGAGCACCGACGGCCGTCTGAACCACAATCGCGGTTGCGGCGGATTCTCATTGCTCATTGGAAGCAATCTGAAGCAAAAAGAAGAGAAAGGACTCCGGCTCCCTTCACAGGGGCGGCAGCGTCGGTCCATTCAGCATCGTTATCGCTGGATTGACATTGCGCATCCAACGCACAAACTTCAAGCTCTGCATCTTATTTCGACCACTGCCAACAGTGAATGTCATCTTCTGCTCCACCATGCCTTCCTTCGGTTTCAAGATGACCTCGGCGCGAGATTTATCTGCCGTTTGGCTGTACTGCATGCTCTGAACGGCCCGTGGGTCAATGGCCACGTCCATTTCGTCTGCGTCGCTCGTTCTCGCCACGCCCGCCTCGTCCACAGCCAAGCTGAGAGAGAGCGATGGGTGGGACCACCGTCGGTTCCCTTGTTTAAACGATGACACGTTCCACACGGTGCCGCCTGCGCCAGGCTCGGCTCGGGCAGCCGGTGAGCCGGGGACAGGCGACGGAGCCGCCGGCGTCGACGTGCGGGATCTCGCCAAAGGTTCTGTAACCGCTTTCAAGCTGGCTTCGTTGGCCGATCTTGTCGGTGCGTTGGGAGTTTCTGGTGCTGGCGCTCGAGACGGCTCTGATATGCCGTCTTGAGCGGCCGGGGCTGTCTTTGGCGGTTCTTCTGGAACCGACGTTGCCGCCGTGGGTGTTGCTGAGACCGGCGGCGGTACTGGTGTCGTCTTGGTCGTCGGGTTCTGTTCTCCGTCGTCTCGAGTTGCGGGCACTGGAGAGGGTATAGCAGTATGTGTAGGAGCTCTAGCGGTTGGTGAATCAGATGTCCGAACAGCTCGCCAGCGATCACCCGGGTCTACCGCACGTGGATCGGCGTTCATAACAATTGGCTGGGAAATCGTAGAGGTCGGTGCGGCATTGCTGCCCTCGACGGGGCTGTTGCTTGTCGACGCTCCGTTGACCCTGGCGGTCGCGCTGCTACTAGTGGCAGGCATGTTGCTGGCCTTGGCTGCCTGGTTTGACGTAACGTCTCCATCTCCATCCCCGTCGCCGTTCTCTGCATTGTTTGACGCCCTTTTCGCGTGCGATTCTTGTGCCAATGTCGTGGGCTCGTCGGAAACAGTCCGCTCAGCAGACGGTACCGCAATAGAGTCTTTGACTGCTCGCTGCGGAAGAGACCCAGGTGTTATACTCCTGGCAACCGACGGCTCATCGTCCTCGGCACCTATTACCGGGGCCTGATCCTCATTCCCGTCCTGTGGAGGCTGCTGCGCCGTCTTTTGTCCTGGGCCGTTAACAGCAGTGCTGACCGCTTCCGCCCCATTCTTGTCAGACGCGTCAACGGCGGCGGCTGAGACTGGGGGCTTTCGACCGATCACTTCTTGAATGGCCTCCGTAGCAACCTTGAGGCACGCCTGATCGACAAGCCGTTGGCGAGCTTGATCCACGAAGTCCTGCAAATTCGTCCCGACAACTCCGCCCGCGGGTGCTGGCTCATCCCGGGTACTCTCCTGTGGAGGTTCCTGTGGAGGTTCCTGCGGAGGTTCCCGAACCACTTGAACAAGTGGGCGGGCTGTCTCTGGAGTCTCGTGTCTCCGAAGCTCGGGTGTCTTGTCAGACGCAGCTGGCGGACTAGTCTCCTGATCTTCGATCGCTGCAGTAAGCTGGGACGCCTTCTTGGCCAGAGGGGTTCCCAATTGAATCGAAGGCTGGTCCCGAGGTGCCCGAGGCGTGACCGCCATGGCTCGCGTATTTGGCTCTTCCTCCTGGGTGCTTTTGCGAGCACGCCGGCTCAATGGCGAGAGCACCAGGGGTGCATCTTCCATGTCAATGTCATGTCCCACGGACTGCTTCTTCGTCGAGGAGCGAGTGCCGGCTGCTGCTCCAACGCGAACAGGGGTCACGGGACGCACAGCTTCCGACTCGGTGGCCTTGGAACGTAACTCTTGAGCACTCCTGCCTGGCGGCGGTTTCGGGTGCCGCGAGGACTGCGAAGAGGAAACTGATTCAGCCATGTCTCGATCATCAGAGGCGTGGTAATCGCTATCGCTGGCATGGTCTTCCATAGGCGGACGACTGCGCCGCTCGGGCTCTTCCTCAACAGCAGACTCGCTATCAGAGTCAGTATCATCGATCTCAGCAATGCGTTGGGCATCCTTCGGGCGTCCAACGGCCGAGGCAACAGTTGAAGCTCGCGTTGCTCCAATGGTGCCCGCGCCCAAGCGGCCGTTCGAGAATGGACCCAGACTTGCAGGCGCTTCCTCGGGATGGCATCGGAAGTACCACTCGCGTGCTCTGATCTGTGGGTGATTTGCATTTCTTTTAGGAATGGGGAAGAGATTAAAGTTCGAGAGCTCCTCGGCGCGAGCCCAACCTTCTCGGTTGTCCTCTGTTTTGGTGCCCTCGAACCAAATGACGGGGAACCAGCGCTTTTTAACAAGTTTGCCGCCGTCCTCGTAGTCGGGCATCCATCCAGCGATGCCCTGAGCATCGTAGGCATAGCAGGCTTTGCGTTGTGCCTGCTGAATAAGTTCTAGTTGACTCAACGTGGTACCGGGAAGACCGCAAATCGTGAGGTCCTTCCACGCCAGAATCATGACAATGTACTTTTTCGTTCTGTCGAGATACCAAAGCTTTGGGGTCGCATAGTAGAGTTTTCCAGCCACGGGGTTGACGATAATTTCTCGACTGGAGGACTTTCGCTTGTCAACCTTATGGAAGTGAGATATTTTGTGTGTCGCGTTTACTCCCGGCTCAACCCGTATTTGTTGACTGGGCTGCGATGTATGGGCTTGATGTGAACCCTCTTCGGCTGTTGTTCCGGCGGTGGCAGAGTCCGTGATCGAAGCTGTTTGATTCTCTTGAAGAAGAGATTCGGTTGAAGGTAAGCAATAGCCGTTCTCAAACGCTTTGGTCACAATTGCGTTGTGCTTGCACATCTTCTCGTCATCGCAGTCGACGATGACGCGGCCGAGTTGCTCCAGGGCCTGGGGGTGATGACGACTCATCTTACCATGCGCTATGGAGTCAAGATGTTTCGCCGCTGCCGTGAGAGCTCTCTGCCTAAAGTGGACGCCGTGCTCTTCGCAGTAGAGAATGTAATATTTACCGTCATCCCATTTTATGATGGTATGCATGTACTTGGGCGTGCCTCCCTGGTGCACGTCCTCGAAACGGATCCTTCTCTCCATTGAAATGTTGATATCCGGGATAGGCTTAGGCACGTCACTTTTTCTAAGACGCTTGGTCCGCTCATCGCTTACTTCCTTTTCGGATACTGTTCCAGTGTCCGCGACTTCAGACTTTCGCTTCTTTTGCTGGAACAACGTTGGGTCTAGTCCGTGGTTCGGGTTTGGCGATGGGTTAGCCTGCCGAGGCCATGGCTGCGTCTTCTGGGGTCTTCTTTGATTTGGAATGAAAGCCTGCGTCTGTGCTTGTATTGCTGCCTGTGCCTGTGCTGGGGCTTCATCCTGGGGTTTCGCTGAGGCTTTACCATGAGACTCTGTTGGAGCGGACTGCGGTGAGGCCGCGTGTGCCTGCAAATGGCTGTTTGCAGTCTGTTGCAGTTGACGCGGAACAGGGGAGGCCCTCGGCGTCGGTTTAGCAGACAGGATTCTCGGTGTGCCAGCTCGACCAGCATCGGGCTGCTGCAGAGGCGAGTTGTTGCCTGATCGGTGGGAGGGTCCGCCAACAGAGGTGTTGCTGCCTGCAGCAGGGTTAAGGGGGGACGGCCGGAACGAGGCCGGGGGTTGCGATGCGTTTCTTGGCGAGCGTTGCTCGGTGAGATTTGATGGCAACGGTGTCGAACTGGGAACTGGCGATGGTTTGCTGTTTGCCAACGGCGAGACGGCGGGGCTAACTTCCGACATGCGAGGACTGGCGACGGGGGTGCTCACGGGGACTGGTTTCGACTCGCTGTACATGGTACCCATCCTCGTGAGCAGGTCACGCTCTTCTGTCCTCTTGCCTTCGAGTATGTCTTTCTTCCTAGCCTCATATGATAGCTGCAGTTTCTCAAGGTGCAGATCTCGATTCTCCAGGAGAAGATACCGCAGCATGCCCTTGACATCTGGCGGCACATCTTGGCGATACAGGAAGGCCAGTTGCTGGTTCTCACACTCAGCCTTGATCTCGCGTTCTCTGATGACAAAGTCATCTTGGGCAACCGCACTGAGGCGGTTGTAGAGATCCTCAATTCGCTGCAAATCACTCATGGTGCTTGAAGTGAAGTAGCGGCTCGAGGCAGCTGAAGTCTGCCGCTGAGGATTTGCCATGTTGGCGTGAAGTGGGTTCGCCAGATAAAGCGCGTCAAGCTGCGATGATTGTGAGTATGCTGATGAGGGACGTAGTCAATCTTGATGGGTCCATCGCCATATGCCGCGCTCGACTCGGAGACTGAGAATACTCGAAAGCGCATGACTGCGTTGGTAGGTGCATGAGAGCAGGGTGATCTAGCAGGACAGGGATGGTGCCGCGGGTTGGTGTGAGGGAAGGTACAAAAGCAAGGCGCGCGAAGACTGGGAAGGTGCATTGGTGGGAGTGCTTTCGGCATAACAGAGGCAGGAGGAGGGCAAATCTGGAATCTAAGTACAGGACTTGGGATGTGGTACCCTAGACCTGGCGCCGTAAGGCGACAGATAGCCATGACGGCAAATAGCCATGACGGCAAATAGCCATGACAGCAAAAGGTATTTGTCCAAATTGGTGTCGGTGTAGACAGAGAATTCGCAGTTTGCGAGCAAAGAAAGAGAGACCAAGAACTCACCAAGCGATCTGAATTAAGAGAAGAATGGCCGATACTGGGTCGGCAGAGGTCGGAGAGTCGAAAGTGGGGAGGCGCTGCATAAACGAAGGGCTGCAGGAAGAAACACGGCACGGATGGAGTTGTGGTGGTCGTAATTATGCAGGAGTGGGTTGACTCAGCGCTGAAGGGAAGCAGAAGACTGCTTCATCAGCTGTCGCCTGCGCAGAGGCCAATGCACGCTGCTAGGTTCGGAAAGAAGCAGAGATGGAAGAGAGACGGATTTGGCGATCCCATGAATCGCGCTGGGATGGCTTCAGAAGTAGAAAAGTGGACGAAGGAAAAGAAGAGGCGGATGGGGGTAGAAACAAGTATGTGGAAAGACAGATCGATAGCGCAGTATCTGATGACCATAACGCTTCTTCGGTTTCAGCGGAAAGACCATTGGGGCGAGGTGCAAAGCAAAGCGGAGGAATAATAGAGAGCTAATCTAACAGAGCGCGCACGGTGTAATGCCGTATTGTAATTCGTCCTTACCGTCGCGTCATCTATCACATCCAGTGTCCTTACAATTCCTACGGCATCGCCTGTTGGGCCCCTAAGGAGCATCTTCCCTGCCACTCGGTGCTTGCTGCGTATTTATCAGGTAGTCTTGCTCTTCCCAGATACCACGTAGAATGCTCATGCCATTCAAGCCTTGCTGCAGTTGGGTATCTGTCCTCCAAATACATGGCAAAGGGGGATAGGCGAACAGGTTGGACGGGCCCCACTCGAGCCGTGAACTCCTGTGGACTCGCACAGTGGCTTTTTGTAGCGCCTGGGCCTATTGAATTCTGTTTGTCTGAGAAGACGTATCTGATCCTGGTTCTTACCGGCCGCCAAACCTGAACTTGCTCGGATGACAGACCCACGTAGACAAGGGGGGGCGCCAGCATGTTACCAACCAACCAGGCATTGATACCAACACCTCGATCATGCCAGTCTCGCACTGAGGTATCGCTATCAACACCCCGGCTCATATGGCGCTGGAAGTATGTAACAAGTGTGCGAATTTATATTGATAAAGCTTTGCTCAGAATCTCGTGCATCAAACTACATATGATACAACTGGTAATTGACTTTTACAGACTTGTACATTGAATGAAAGGAGGCGTACGACAGACGCAGTCGATGATCTATTCATGTTTCAGGTCGGCGATCCGTACGCAAACTGGTACATATAAGGTTTATTCACTGCAGATGTAGCTCACCAAGTGATAGCACGACTGTGCCGCCTCCCCCAGGCCTTCCCCGCCTGACACCTCCAAGATAAGAGCTCTGCGCCAGGTTTTAATTGGCGACTTGACAAGAGAAATGGCTGTGGAGCAAGGAAGTCCAAGTCTACCGCTGCCAATTCATTTCTCCCCCCCAGCTTCCCTGTTCTCACCAAGTCATAGCCTCGTACGGATACCTCAACCCCAGAGGTGGCGATTCAGCTATAGTGTTCGTCCACCTCATCTCGTCCTCATCGTGAATTTGACTCGTTCCCGCGAGTCCCTCGAACCCAGACTTCTCGGATGAAATCGTCTGCGTTGTGCTCGATTGCGGCGTGATCCCAGCAAGCGTAGTATCATCAGCTCGTGGAGGGCCGTGCAGCAAGCAAAAGTTGACCCCCGGGGAGTCGGCCATCTTCTCAGCCAGTTTGGGGGCCAAAAACTCAAAAGCCTAGTGATCGGTCAAACTTGGAAAATGAAACACACAGGACCGCTGATGAATGAAAAGAGAGCTCATTCCTACCTTGGTCGCGACAGCAGATTTGATCCCCAGATGATGCATATCGATCGCCAGCTGATTCGCCAACGAGGCAACCATGGCATTGTTCCGACCCACTGTGACGAGCATGCCCACGAGAAAGTCCATGCTGCTCTCGCTCTGCTGACTGTGCTCTGCTGCGAAATCTTCGAGAAAGACGAGAGCTGCCATGTATGCCGCAAAGGTCAACATGGCGTTTTGCATGGTGGCTTCAATGTCGGGCACCATGCGGAAGACGTGCAAGATTTCCTCCGCTGCTGGCAGGAGTCTGTTCTGGCTCTGGCGGACTGTGTGCTCTGGCAGAATGTCCCGCAGCGGCCGCATGGTCCACTGCGCCGCTCGGTGGAGGGAGATGATGGCCGCTTGGGTCATGACGTTGACGAAGACGGCGTTTGCGGAGCGGATGTTACGTGGAAGGCGTAGCGTTTCGGGGAGCGCCATGAGCAATGTGGCTAGGCTGTTGTCTATGTCTCTATGCTGTTTCCAGTACAGGCCGTTTTTCACATCTTCGGGGTTGCCTTCTGCAGCTGGCTGCTCTGTGTGCTCCATCGTTTCATGGAAGAGGTGGGCGGCGAGGATCCGGCCGGCAAAGGAGGAATATCTCTCGCCTGTCTCTTGCAGGACGCTCTTCAAGGTGCGGGTCTTCTCCTCGACACCGCTCTTGAATGCCTCCTCAGAAGCTGGAAGCAGAATGTGAATGTGCAATTTCTTTAGCGTTGCTCCATCGTCGGGTTGAAGGTCCTCACGTCGCGGTCATTCACCAACGCAGGCCAGCCCGTGGCACCGCACACAAACCTGTCGATGCAGAACACAACCCACCACGTACGTCGCCGCTCCTCCGTCTCGGTCCAGTCTCGCGCGGGGGCGAGTATGGATCGAGCTTGCAAAGCTTTTCGATCGAGCTGGTGCAAGTTAAGCATCTGAGCGATGCGGACGCTACGGCCAAGACTTGTTGATGCACGCGAGTACCACATCTGTCGGGCCTCAAAGTTTGAACACAGAATCCAAAATTGGGCATGGCGTAAGGTCAAAAAGTACTCGCCTTTCCCCTAGCCAACAACCGTCAGAGATTGCCAGGAATGTAGCGAGTTTGCTTACCTTCATCTCATCAGATTCGGCATAAGCCCGTGCGCGCTGATAGAAAGGCATTGCCAGCTGCTGATGTACACGGTTTACTGTGGCTGCAGAGGCCATGACAATGTACTGGAGACACATTGGAGGGCGCATATGGGCTGGCAGGTAGAGAGACGCTATGTAGCGCTCCTGATGAAGCATAGGGGCCGCGTGGTGGAGCTCAGCGAAGAAGATGGCCGTTCTGCAAAAGTCAGCTCAGCCGTACACCTTCCAGTGCACTAACTCACAGTTCCTCTATCAGTTCGATAGCAGGTAGCTGCTCAAATAGACCGAGCCTTGAAATTTCAGTCTGGGATGTGCGGTCATCGTATGGCGGAGTGGGCTGCACTGCAGGATGCGTATGGATGGGCAGGCTACCGAATGCTGTCCCAGTCGGCAGAAAGGGTTCAAAGTTGGTTGTAGCAATGTCGGGAAAATCGTCCGTTTCAGGCTCATTGGCCGCACTAATGATCTTGATCTTGTTCTCGAGCTGGCCTGTGGGCATGTCGGTTAAGTGGCTTGTCCTGGGTCCATACTAGTCCGGTCCCAACTTACCCAGCTTGGCCTCCAACTCACGCACCTGCGTCCTCTTCCCAACATTGGTCCGTCTTGAGCCCGGGTATTCACAATCCTCATCCGCCTTGACACAGCGCGAGCATCGTGGCGTGGCACGGTCGCACTTCAGCTTCCGACCCCTGCACCTGCGGCAGGAGATCCGGATGATAGGAGGGGGCTCATGGGGTTGCGGCGGCGGCCCATCGGATGACCCTGGGGTCGCCATACCCGAAATAGTGGCTACGCGTGTGGCACTGTGGGCTCAGTGGTGCAGTGTCGTCGACCTCTGCGTTCGGAGTGCGCGTGTTTGTATGGAAACTGCTCACATGCAAGGATGAGTTGATGATGCTGTGCCTCTAACGCGTGCCGGGTTACGCTGACACTGCTGACATATCCCGGAGCTGATGCTCCACCGCGGTGTCCGACGAACAGCGAAGTGGGGCTGACGCCGGATGCTCCAAAAGATTCGTTTTGAGCAGGAATCTTTCACAAGTGTAAGCTATTTGAGACTTGTGCTCTTTGAGACCTGTGAGTATATAAGCCTGAGTTCGATGCTGGGCTTCGGACTCTGAAGTTTGGTTACGTCTGTGTTCAAAATAGGCTTTCAGTCTCTCTGACTCACTCTACATAAAAGATCCAACACAACACGCAACTTCAACGTCTTTGCAGTAGTCCTGCTTCTCTTTCAACGTCCATCATAAGCTAGCGCAATCGTAAAACGAATCTTCCATGTTACCTAAGTTGTCCGAGGTCGGCACAATCATAACGATTATCGTGTTGAAGTTTCTCTGACCACGGCAACGACATAACATCTAAACAGCACTGCCCAGGTACTCGTCAGTAATTTCATCGACGACAAGGCTATGAGGCTGCCTCTGTGATCCCCAAATGCAAGAATCTTTTGACGGTGCCACAATGAATATTTCTACTGAAGTCATTCGAGTCTGCCTTGCTGGCGTAGGGTCTGTGCTTTCCATTCAACGCCATGAACAAGTTGACGTTGACACCGTTGCGCACCCGTATCAGTCGAGGGTTGTCTTATGATTGGTCTTCACTACAAGCTGATTAATGTTTTTCAGAACCCTCTCTTCGGTCGTGGACGACCAGCAGCTATTGTCAGAGGACTGTAAACGGGAGGCCCAGGGGGCGATCCTGGGAACGACAATCCCAAGGCACTGTCAGAGCGTGGTTTGGTCAGAGTGCAGAGGTCTTCCGCACGTGGTCCGCAAGCAATGAAATAGGTACGGGGCTGTAATGCATCTGAATTCTGGACCTTAGCCCTCGTATACACGTTTTCGTAGTATTTAGCCCCTGACCAGCCCCCTTGTTGCGTAGCTCCACAGGGGCCTCTAACAGGCACTGACTGTGGAGGCACATGAAAGGGCCGCACATGCTCTTTGGAGTACCAAACTTGGGATGTTCTGCTATTCTGGGTCATAATTTGATAGCAGTGCTAATATCAGACGCTTTACTCTGCTTATGCCTACGTTCTAGCAAGGACTTTGAAAGGTTCTCCATTATTTGGTATGCAATTGATGTATGGACGTGTCATTTATCTGCGGCATACTGCTTCTGATTTAAATTTCCCCTCGACCTGGCCTTAGCCTTGATCAAGGGGGAGGGCGAGAGGGCCATGGTTTCGCTGGGCTCGCAGCTACGACCAGGAGTCTTCCCCTTGAGCACCAGTCCTGGGCAGACAGAGGTACTAACTCAAGACGAACAACGCCATTGGTATCGCCAAGGCAAGCGCTCTTATACTACCTTTATAGAAGAAGTGCTGAAGATTAATAGTGTCATTGAATATATCATCTCCAGCCTCGATCAGCTACTGCCGTCGCTGCTAACTCCCCTAGGACATTTGAAGAATGCAAGACACGAAGAGGCGTTGAACAGGCTCATGAACTGGTGGACTAAGATATTCACATCATATAACAGCATATAGATAGATCATCATATTCATTCGCTACAAACCATCTACACCCCTTAAATCATTATCATAAGGTAACCCCCCTCTACGTCTTAGCAGCATCCAGATACCGCTCCAGCTCCCTCTCCGTCCACGCCCACAGCGCCTCCTCCATCCTTCGATCGCGCGCATGCATCGACGCCTCGCCAGCAACACCAACCGGAAAATAAAACTCGCCCGACTCCGCCTCAGGGCTAACACCAGCCCACAGCTGCGTCCCCACGCCCGCCGCAACAGGCGTCTGCAGGACATCCCCGAAAAGGCGCACGAAGCGCACAAGCGGCGCGAGAACCGGCCAGCTGGCCGCGACGCCGCTGGCGATGTTCGTGTTGACGACGCCCGGGTGCAGCGCCACGGAGCGGAGCGCCGGGTGACGCACGGCCAGGGCGTGGGCGTGCAGAACGTTGGCCACCTGGGAGAGGCTGTAGCGGGAGAAGCCCGAGCGGGGGGCCATGTTGGTCCTGAGCGTGTCGAAGTCGGCGGGGTCGAGGAAGGGGGCCCAGGCCTCGGCTGAGGAGGCGGCTGCCGTCTTGAGGAGCGCCGGCAGGAGGAGCTTGGTGAGCAGGGCGTGGCCGAGGTGGTTGGTGCCGAAGTGGATCTCGTAGCCGTCCTGGGTTGTGCTGGGCGGTTGGGCACAGATGCCGGCGTTGTTGATGAGGAGATCGAGACGGTCTGGCTGGGCGTGAAAGCCGACCACTGCCTTCTTGATGCTGTCGAAGGATGCGAGGTCGTAATGTGATGGGTGCCGCGTCGGGGACAGCCCTCTGAATGTCCGCAATGGCGTCGAGGGCCTTGGACTCGAATCTGGCCGCTAGGAAGATCATGGCCGGATTATGCTTGCAGAGTTGCAGCACCGTCTCCTTCCCGAGGCCATTGTTGCCTCCGGTGACAAGAAGAACCTTGCCTGAGAGATCGGGAATGTCTTGGTCGAGGTTGAAGTTCACCATCCTGTCGATCTAGTACAAGCGGCACATGGCTTATGGGAAGTATACGATGCGATTCATATTACAGCTATATATGTGAACTCTAGTGAGCGTCTCACCAGAGAAGACTCTCAGACACTCACTGTTAGTAGCGGAGATTGCACTACGCGTCTAGCCCGTTAGAGTTTCGGTTTCGCGATCTATAGGCTTTGCACCAATTATGCGAGCCTTCAGTCGCGAGGCGGTACGTATAGACCAGGACGATGGCGGATAACGGCAACATGCTGAAGCGCAAATGCGTCCAAGACCCCCGCTGACCGATTCGGTAGCATAGGATACCCCGTGTCAAGGATGTCGTCTTTACTCCGACTCGAGAATACGCTCAAGGGCAGCAGCGGACTTTGGTTGCGGCGAGCGGAGTTTGTCGAGTTGTTTCGGCTGCCAGAACTGAGGCGCACGCCAACAGTGTCAATGATTCGCCCAGACTTGTAGCTTTTGACCATTGAGTACCGTCGGCGTCGGGGGTGAGATAGGTGACCCTCTTATCAAGTATGACTTGGGCGTCGGTTCTTGAAAGAGCGGCATACTGAGGACGAGAGTTATTCGTAAGCTCGTTTCTCTACGGTTGCGGAGGTTTGGTAGGATTGAGAATGTAGTCACTGCGAAAGATTGTCTTATATGATCGCCTCAGCGGGTGGAGATTCGATGGACTATGGCGGCAACATGAATCCCTTTGTTGAACCCATGCTTGTTATCAGCTCGTTGTGGAAAGGTTGTTCCGACACCGTCCATCATGTTTCAGCACGGCGTCGTCCTGGTATACAGCACAATTAACGACGCCGCCATGGCGTAGAGCACCACATCAGGCACAGCAGTGATGGTGAATCAATAACCAATTTCCGAGGCCGCGTATCTGTTGAATACCTGTGACCGTTCCCATCCGTACGCCAAACGCATGCTTTGTGTGAATACTTTTCTTCTTTCGTGTTCGTGGTGTTGCACATGTTCATGGTATTGCCCATTTCCTCCCAAGCACCAAACACAAGGCGCCTACCAGCCGCGGGTGGCGAGCCTCTCGCTGTCCTTCATGGTGTCGCAGTTGATGCCGACCATGGCCTCGCCGAGGCCGGTCGAGCACTCGGCGAGCACGGCAGCGTCCTGGTAGTGGGTGGTGGCGCGGACGATGGCGCGGGCGCGCTTGGCGGGGTCGCCGGACTTGAAGATGCCGCTACCGACAAAGACGCCGTCGCAGCCGAGCTGCATCATGAGGGCGGCGTCGGCGGGGGTGGCGACGCCGCCGGCGGCAAAGTTGACGACGGGCAGGCGGCCGAGCTCGGCGACCTGGCGCAGCAGGACGGGGTCGGCGCCAATCTCGCGGGCCATGGCGCGGATGCCCGTCTCGCCCTCGGTGGCGAGCAGGGCCTGGGCGCGGGCAATGTCGCGCTTGACCGTCTTGACGTGGGTGACGGCCTCCACGACGTCGCCGGTGCCGGCCTCACCCTTGGTGCGGATCATGGCGGCGCCCTCGGCGATACGGCGCAGGGCCTCGCCGAGGTTGCGGCAGCCGCAGACAAAGGGGGCCTTGTAGGGGGACTTGTCGACGTGGGCGTCCTTGTCGGCGGGGGTCAGGACCTCGGACTCGTCAATGTAGTCGACGCCGAGGGCCTCGAGGATCTGGCACTCGACAAAGTGGCCGATGCGAGCCTTGGCCATGACGGGGATGGTGACGGCGGCCTGGATCTCGCGGATGACGGCGGGATCGGACATGCGGGCGACACCACCGTCCTTGCGAATGTCGGCAGGGACGCGCTCGAGGGCCATGACGGCGCAGGCACCGGCCTCCTCGGCGATGCGCGCCTGGGCGGCGTCGGTCACGTCCATGATGACGCCGCCCTTGAGCATCTGGGCGAGGCCAGCCTTGACGGCGAAGGAGGCTGAGGCATTGTTCGGGATGGGCGTGGCGCCGTTGGTGGTGGCCGAGGTGCCGTTGGCAGCGCCGTTCTGAGCGTCGGACATGATGGGAGGTGTGAGTATTGTCTGGGCTGAAAGGGGAGAGCAAAGCAAAGACGAGCAGTCAATTGGGCTTCGAGACGGTGAAGAGGAGAAGAAGAAGGAGGTGTGTCAAAAGTAGACCAGAAACGGAGAGGCGAGATGTCTCGGTAGGAGCCGAAGCACGACTGGGACTGATGATTCACGAGGCGGGCAGGGGCAGGTGAGAATCGGGACGATGCGGGGTCGTGAAGTAGGGAAGCAGCGACAGGGAGGGGCACTGGGAAGGGGCGGGGCGAGGAGCACGTTTATATCGCGCCAGAAGGCCACAGAAGAATGCGGAAAGAGGCGAGGGAGAGAGAGGCCGGGGATCTGGCTGTTGGCAGGCACAACACAGCGGCGGTCCGCCCACGCTCAAAACTTTTTTTTCGCCGCCAGTTCGGAGACGGAAGGCGCAAGGCGGAGGGCGCAGGACAAGGGCGTGCCACTAGAGGCGTGACAGCCTGATGCGGGCGCCTCGAGGTACCGGTACTTCGATGGAGGGGTCGTGGCGGGGTCGTCAGGGCCTGGGCCGGTCTCGGACGGGGGAACAGGCGCGGCTGCCATCGGGATGGGCGGGACTTGGTCTCTGCCCAAGCTTGGGTGAGGCACCCCGTACCTCTGCCACGCCCACGAGCTCGCCGCGCAAACGACGCGGCCGCGGCTCTGGCCACCCGCGGCGCTGCCTCGAACCTGTCGCGAGGCGCTGTGTCATTGGCCAGCACGCCAGGTCTAAACTGGTTCGAGCAGCCCCGAACGAGGCGCCCCGACCCCGGAATCCCTCGGCGGGCCTTGGGCAAAGTGCCGGCGAGGTAGAGGTACTTGGGACCCTTGACTCACTTTGTTCGCATGGGCATGCACCTTCTGGTCGGACTGTCATGGCGAGCGGCCATCTCCATTTG